TCATAAACCAAAGTAATGGCAAAATTGACATTTTAACCTGTTGATATTTACAGATGTTAAGTTGGGGGATCACCAAAGTGATTACAATTCAGGGGAAAATGAATGTTTTCGTGACAAAGCATCCAGGTGAGACATTTCTATCCGGACCAAACTGGTGGAGTAACTCACTGACTATCATTACCATCCCAAGAACCATGCCGCTAGTGTGGATAAAAAGTGTGGCAGTATGTTAGTCAAATTAAGTTGGGAGATCTGCTGTCCACGGTTCAGATACGCCTTGTCTTGCTTTTCTTCAAATAAGTCATTTTATTGTCTCATCTACTGCATGAAAAAATTCTGTCATGATTTTCATTTGTACTTCCCCTCTGCAGTGCTGCTCTCCCTCTTAAATTATTGTCATCCCCCCCATGGCCGTGGCAAAAGCACACACACCAGTCACACTGTAGGTGCTAATTCACTGTTGTCCAAAATGTCTCGGTCTGAGAACTGATATTAGAGCCCCCTAAATCCGACGGCTGAAGGAACAGCCTACTGTTTCCCATCTGGTTGTGGCAGGCTGGCAAGCCTGAGTCAGGGTGATAATTGATGACAGCGGAGCGAGCAAAGGCACTGAAGAGCCCCGCCTCATGGCCAATAACATATCAGTGGCCCCTGAGACTGGCAGCTCCTGGGGTGCTGTCAGGGTCTTCAGCTGCAACCCTGTAACTCTGTGTAATTGTCCTCTCTCATCCAGCTCTGCCTCGCTATCTTCAGTCTGCTTTGCTATCAGTCCTCAGTCTTGTGACAAAAATGAAAAAATATAACAGTGTCTGCCTTTGGTGAGTTTTTATCCTCTGGAAATAAACACCAAAGCCAACAGCAAAGTGACTTTCATTACAATTTATTTAAAGATTCTACCATTTAACATGACATTTGTTTTCTGCCATATAGGACAACCAGAGTGACCCCGCCTCAACCTTATCGATGATACAAGCACACCATGGTCACACAGTGACAGCAGGCCAGCTGCTGCCTCTTTCCTAGAACAGAAGGCGTGTGAAATCTCCATTCAACCTAAGACTGCTGTGTATCAAATCAAAGGGCATTAGAGGGACTGAACGGACACACAGACACGTGATTGTTCTTGTTGAATATGAATGCATCAGTTTAGTGCTTTTGTCCCTGCAGGAGTTGTTATCCCCTGCTGTTTAAATGAAAGACCTACCTGTGTTAAGATGTTACATAACTGTGAGGAAAACAAAAGTCAGATTGTGTTTTGTTCTGATTTGATATTTGAACACAACCACATCTTCTCAGGTTAGACAACCCGATTAGGTTAATTGTGCCTTAGCTGCCAATATTTTTCTCATAGCAAATTTGTTCATGGAATTGGAAAGTAAAGGTCAACACAAGCTACATCCTGTTTTTCACAGTGGCAGGTGATAGCCTAAACCATGTCATTCTCAGGTGTGCTCAATTAGCAGGGAGAAGATGAAGTAGTCCGTGGAGGATGAGGGCATGTTGAGTCACTGGTAAGAAAACATTTTTAGTTACGATGAATGGGCCTTGTTGAATCTGGTCCCGAATGAACGCCATTTCCTACCTTGTGCTCACACGCTAATTTAGTCCCAGGTGTTGGTAGCTAAGTGGAGTTACCAAGGGGGTTTAGCGCAGTGTTTTGTTTCCATTTACAAGTTTTTCTGGAAGAACCTTGAGAGATTTGTTGATTTTGTGGCACTGAAAGTGCATTCTCCCCAGTGACTAATTAAGACATTTAGGTCTGCGGATAACACCTTAACTTGACACAAGCTTTAATTCCTAATCAGGCATTCAAAGTGGCTCCTGCCTGGGCCAGGCCCGCAATGAATGGGAGATCAGGTATTTACCATGACATCTCTGCTTTACTGCATACATCTGTCCAATTAACAAGTCTCATGGCACCAACTCATTCACATTCAGAATATTTCATCCACATTTCATTCATTTCTGCTCAGTCCATTTTTCACATTCAGTGAATGGACAGTAGAGTGGTTTTATGTCATGCATAGAGGCATACTGATCGTGACTTCTGTAGGTCTTTGGCAATATACTGCTATTACTGTAATCAATAACTAAGTAAAGTTACTAATCAATAGTCACTCCAGGGCGTGAAGTAATAAATGTAAATGACACATACCTCACATTCAAAGCAGGAAAGTTATATTCATAATAAAATTCAATTATTCTGTTTGCCATGAGCTAAAAATAACGATTAGATAAAAAGTTATATATTGCGCATAGATAACCATACCCTGGGAACTAGATAGTCTATAGAACCTGGACTCTACAAACTAACAGGCCCTAGCAGAAAACGTTGGCCCACATTCAGATAATCAGCAGTATAGCCAACAGTCTTGGGGCCAACACAATAACTCAAGCACAGCTCGCAGCCTGCCTGCGAGGATGTATGCTGTCCAGGCAGCACAGATCTATTTGTGGATGAACTGTCCTCTGAAAAAAGCAGCCAAAGTTTCAGAGTGTTCAGACTGGAATACCTGATAAGAAGTCGCATGGTGAGCACAAGTGTTATCAAGCACTGTGCAACACTCAATGTCTGTTTTATCAGTTTCATCCCAGAGGTCAGTATAGACTACAGAAAAAGGGGGTCTAATCAAATTTGTGTGGCACACGAAGAGGTATGTCATCAGTACTGCCTCACTGGTATGGAAACTGTACTATGTGCTAATTGTATGACATTGCCACAGTCATGGTCAAAAGCCTGTGATGTAGCACTTAAAGGACCGCGTCCTTTTTTGTGATGATCATTTGAACTTCTTGAAACTCTGGAGACAAAAGAATTGTATATAACTCCATAGTCCAGAGTTTCAGTTATTGTTACATTAAAGAAGCTGTTTTTAATTTTGCTAATGTTACATGGCCAAGATTAGCATGAACAGCTTTTCACTCACCAGTTTAGAAGAAACGTTACAAGTTCAGCATCAAACTTTATTCCTTTATACTGGCCAGGAGCTGTCTCCAGAGGTAGAAAGCAACCCTCTTGTTTCGCTTCTATTTCTATTACTTCTTTTTCTTGCTAGCTGTTAATGCTAACGATGGCTATGTAGCAATAGCCAAACTTACAAATAGCTCCTTTTAACGTTAAAATGGCAAGACACATACAGTAAGAGATCTGAATACGGCATGGCCGCTTGTCAGTGAGAGATCCGAGTAGAATGGCCAGACTCTATCAAGCTAACAATGTGACTACAAAAAATGTTTGCAGCAGAAAATGGTTTCAGTATTCTGTGAACAAGAGAAGAACATATAGTAATTGACGTACTGACTAAAATAGCCATTCTTTAAATACTGTTATATTAGAGACCAGGGTAATTTCTTTCAACTCTATGGTAATAAACTTTGCAGACAATATAGGCTCCGAAGGTAGAGCATAAATCCTGAGGACACATGCACCTGTGGATCCAGGCATTATGAAGCTAAACCATAGAGTTCCATCTCTGGCATTATAAGAAGTTAAACCTATAGAGACGCTTCCATGATGTGATCTTGTTATAAAAAATTGTGGCGATGATATGACTTTATGATGAAAAAGATATGTCTGTATTAACAGGATAGCTTCCATCCAGTGAAGGACACCAGGAGAGAGGTCAGGCTGCTGATGAATTTCCTCCATGTTTAGATGAGTGCATGTCTGTTGGTGCTGTATAAGGACCTGCTGAGGGTTTGATGAAGCCGGATGGTGAACAGCGAGGAAGGTGGAACCCCGGCAATGTTTCTCTCACCTGCACTGTTAGGGCACAGTTTTGGTCCTGCTGAGATTTATATTAGCAATTAAAATTAAATTCTGGTCTTGTGAAGGACAAACAGTTTTGTAAAAGGGTCCTTTTCACTTTTTATACATAGTCCTTGACAAGACATGCAAGAGAAATGTGTTTAATTAGGTGAGAAATTAAAGAATGAAATAATCATTAAATTACTACAGAAAAGGCAGCAGAATTACATGTCCCTTTACAAGGCATAGTATAGATATACATACTGCAACACTACTATTGTCAGTGCTATTATATATTACACTATAAGAGTTGTATTTAGAGGAGCAGTTTATAATCATTTTGGGCATTTTATGTTCACTGTTACTTCAGAAAGCAACAGATAAGCGTGCTGATATCCTCATACAAACAGCCGTCTTGTCTGTTAATCGTAGTGATGAAAGGGACCCAAGTCAGTGAGAGGACTGGATTGTTTAACAAAGCACAGTCTCATCACATCAGTTAGGCACTGCTTTTAGTTTTATGTAACTAAATAAGCTAATAAAGTAAGGCTTTCACTGCCTTTTTCCTATGGAGTTAACTGAATTTACAATTTCCATGTAAAAAAAAAAAAAACAACCTTCAGGCAAAGTCATTATTATGAACCTTGAGAAAATCTAAGCACACTAGAGTTGCATAATTTGAACTTGTTGCACTGTATTATAATTTGTGAAACAGAAACACGGGGTGGAAGGATAGATGCATGGTGAGAAGAAAAAATGCTAAATGTTCATTTTCATCTCCCTCTCTTTGAAGGGATCCCTCAAAGTCAGACTTCAGTCTTCTCTCAAACCTTTGGTGAGAATCCTTGTAACAATTTAGTCTTGAATGTAAATGGGACGCAACATAATGCACTATTCATGGGTTTCACAAAATGCTGGATTGTCGTTTTCTATACTTGACTATTCTATCAGCAGCAGGAATTTGTTAATGAAGTAAGTTTTGCAGCAAAGAAAAGTAAAAATGGTGCATTTAGGTTAACCTCACAGACCTCACATGAAAAACACTGGCCATGTTTTTCTCCTTGAGTAATTATTCTGTTCAAATAGCATATTTTTCTCTCCAGGCAGAGAGTGCTTGGGCTGAATGGATGCTGCCACTGCATAATGGTCCTCAGATGTTTGTTTCCTAGGCAACGTGGGGAGGGCATGTGGAGAGGGAGGTATAAAAACACTGGCAGCTCCTCTCTGAGTCTTACTCTGAGGTAAATGCACTCACTGTCAACACAGAGAGCCTTGGAGAACTTGCTACACACTTTCTCTCCCTATTTGTCACCGTCACTCTCAGCACACCTGAAGGCTCGGCTCCACAAGTAGCTGTGCAAGAATGATGCGACCGAAAGATTTACGCCAGGGCTCTGGCACCAAGACCTTCCTAGATGCCATGCACGGTGGTAAAGTTCACCTTGCGCGCTTCATCCTGGATGCCTTGGATGGACGCATCATCAACTCAAAGACAGAAAATAGCCGCACCCCACTCATGTATGCTGCCTGCCTGCAAGACCCTGGGACGAGGGCCAAGTTCACCCGGCTGCTGCTGGAGAAAGGAGCCGATGTCAACTGCCAGGATGAGGATAGTCGCACTGCCCTGAGCCATGCCTGTGAGATGGGTCACCTGGACGTTGTCAAACTTCTGGTGCAGTTTAATGCAGACCCAGACATCTCTGATGCTTGGGGTAACAGCGCTCTCATGTATGCTGCTTTTTCTGGGCACAGCCAGGTTCTGGAGTTCCTGGTCCGGGCTTTCAAAAGACTCGGACTGAGGCTGGACAGAACCAATAATGCCGGTCACTCAGCCATTGAGGTGGCAAACTTCTTCGGACACAACCAGTGCGTCCAGATTCTGAACTTTCCTTGTCGGAGAGGTGTTAGCACGGATGATCCACTTGCTGATGTGGGTACCATTGGTGAAGGAGAGTGCCGACTGCCCAACAGGCTCCCTAGGCATGTTCTGGAGAGGTTCTCCAAGCAGTTTAATCATGATGACCAACTGCCCGGGGTATTTCAGAGACAGCTGAAGATTGGAGACAGCAGTGGGCTGTGGAACCGCTTCAAGTGTCCCAGGAGCCAGTCTCAAGAGGACAACCATCATCACAGCTGGGCTCTGCCTCCTCAGCTAGAGAAAAGCCAAACTGAGGGGGACCACAGCGTTCTCTTTACTGCCAAACAACTGCAAAACTGCCCACTTAGAGAGCTAAGAGCGGCTAAAACACTGAACTCTCTGCCTGAGCCAAGCCAGAAAGATGTCAGCCGAGACACTGGACGCAAAAAGCAAACACCAGAGAGTTTTCCACTCTGGGGAAAAGCAAAGTCGTTTAACCTGGACCTTCTGAGCAGTAGAAAGCAGTCCTATCAGGGTGATGTGCGTGACATGAGCCTGTCAGCCAGCAAATTAAAGAGAGCCTCGCTACAGGATGAGAGATGCCTGATAGACAAGACGGAATGTCAAGGAAACACCCGGGGCCTGACAAATGATGCTGACAAAACTGTCCCAGTGCCAAAACCTCTTTTAAACAGCAAGAGTCAGCCCATGAGAGCACTCGAGGAGAATGTCAAATCACAGAGAGAAGAGGCTGATGACATGGCTCCATCAAGCAGGAGAGAGCAGCAGAAGAGGGGAAGCTTTGGCGCAACGGGCAGACACAACAAACTGCTGTTTGCCAGAGGGGAGATGGAGTCAGGGAAGATCCCCAGCCGCACGCCGGGGTTCATCGGCCTGGGGACCAGACTGTTGCGTCGATTCACGGCACCAGAATTCATGAGGATGGTGATAGACTGTTCGTCAGGCTCCTCAAACGGCAGAGGGCGGATGTCACGCTCAGAAACCTTTCCTCTCTCACACACACATCAGCAGGTCAACAGCCAGCCGAGCGTCGACAGCATCAGTGGAGTCAAGTGTGAGTTTGAAAGCTGCTCGTCCCAGTCCGCCCTTGATTAGAATAAGGACAGTGTCAAGCAACAGAAAAGAAATTTTTACAGCACTTAAAATTCTGATAATGCAGTTTGGTTGCTTGGTGATACATTCTATTTATTAAGAGAAATAATAATCCTTTGCCAATGTTGCAGTTTATTTGTTTTTTTTTTCAATGGTTATTAATAGAAAACAAGAATTTTAAAGTGTTGTTCAGCTGCATACAATTTTGCTATTCTAGATTTGAAATCATTTATAAATTAACATATCAGTCTGTGAGCTACTAAAAATAATTATTTTTATTTCATATATATAAGATTTATATTGTATGGAATTAAATTAAATGTATTTGATATTGCTTCTGTGTTTATAAGAAATATTGCACGTATTTTGCTTAAAGATATTCAGTGACTGTGCACTGTATGATTCATGGTGAATACCTAATAAATACTTTAAAACACCAGCATATTCAGCTTGTATTTATGCATGCGGACGAGTGTGCGTGTGAGGTAAATGCAGGATGAAATGAATTTCTGATTCAATATGCATCATTTATTGATTTATACAAAATTAAAATATGTAATTCTCTTTTTCATGAATGAATCCACACAGAGATAGAAATACATGAAACATGTCAACATGTATCCGTGTCAGAATACAAAGACTATGTGCAAAGTGTTTCTCAGCAGGTGGACGTCCTGCAGCATCACATGCCAGGCCTGTGTGCTTTATCTAGGCAAACAAATGCAAATACAGTCATACACATCTTCTTGAGGAGCAACAAACACACACATTTTGTGGTTTTTAAAAAGTCTGTCACAATACAAAGAGGGCTGTATCAGAAGCAAACACTGAGATGTCGCCTCACGCACACACACCCATGTGCTCACATGCACACGCGCACACACACACACACACACACACACACACACACACACACACACACACACAACTATACACTCACATTTCAGTAAAGAAAAGTAAAATTTTGAATTCATCTTATATAATTTACTGCAGTGAATCAGCAGGTGTAAGGACATAATATTCAGTATGTTTTATTTACATTATTAATTTATCTGCTCATGTTTCAAGTCCATACTTAATAATGAAACCTTATTTGCAACTTCACATCATACAAACAACCCACAACACCTTTTGGAAATAAAGGATAAATATGAAAAAAGAGGAATATGGTACTGGTAATTTTCCAATAGCCCAATAGTAGCAGCTGGGCTTTCATCTACCCATTTGTTATGCTAATAAAAGAGAATTGTCTTTCACTTCCCAGTTTGGTACATATTCAAGCATTCACATCAGGCCAGGTGTGCCTCCATTTGGCCATGCAAAGAGTCTACTGTCAGTGTTTGTGGAGTGTACCGACCAGGCTGTTGTTCAGTTTCCACAGCAAAGAGGGTGAGTGTGCAGAGGTAACTTCTTCCTTCCTTAATAATGTCACAATGAGCTACTGTGGTTTGAGCCTAACACCAGCTTTATAAGCTTTACACGGCCAGCAACAATTCCCACTATGAACATTATAAAGGATCTTTAGAGGAGCACGTGTTCATTACATACAGTTATGTGGAATATTGATTGTTGCTATCAGTTGATATGCACCAAGTTGTGTTGTGTTGAATCCCACTGAATGTTACAGGAAGCCAATCAATATTCCGATCGAACCGAGTTGAGAGGTGAGGAATTGCATGCTGCCTTTAACTGACTCCTAAAGTGCTTCTCTCATGCCCGAGACCATGCGGTGTCTGTCAACCAAACTTGCTGTCCTGCCACCATCACTCTGGCAGCATCATGCTGCCTGGGTCTGCTTCTCTGGAGCTGATCTCCCGTTGCCTTGGGTGCTAGAGGAGTTGGACCCCTGTGCGGGGCCTGGACACGTCAGACTGGAGGTGGGTGCTGGGGACCGGGAGCCCCACAGGGGTCAGCAGCGGGACATGCGCTTGCGGTACTGCTCCACCAGCGGGACCAGGCACTGAGGTGAGCCACTCTGCAGCAGGAAGGGGTGCTCCAGCAGGTCAGTGGCGCTGGCCCGCTCTAGGGGGTCCCGAGTCAGCATACGGTCCAGGAAGTCTTTTAGAACTGGGGATATCTGGTCCAGAGAGAAATTGGTGCATATATTTTCATTTCAATAAATCATTTCAGTAGTTATATTGACTGTGAAAATAAAAACACAAACAAGACAGCTGGAAGCCTTTACTGGCACACACACGTTTGCATTTCAGTTTTTGCAACAAGAACAACAAGGACCAAAGTGATGGTCAGACCAACACTACAATTCCTAGAGTGACACTACTACCATGGGTGAAACTGCTACACATAACATCTTAAAAGAAAGAATATGTGTGAATTCAAAATTTTACTTTTCTTTACTGAAATTTGAGTGTATAGTTGTATATATATATGTGTGTGTGTGTGTGTGTGTGTGTGTGGTGTGGTGTATATATATAATATATATATATATATATATATATAATGTATGTATGTATGTATGTATGTATGTATGTATGTATGTATGTGTGTGCGTGCGCGTGCACTGTCCGTTCTCTTACCTGGCTGACATTTCGGACAGTAGGAGCCAGTTCATCCCTCAGCCTCTTCATAGCTGCTACAGGGGTTTCACTGAAGTACGGAGGCTCTCCATCCACCATCTCCACCACCATGATTCCCATTGACCAAACATCCACCTAAAGCACCATCGCACAGTAAAATTATGTAACAGATCCTAGAGCACAGATTGCCACTGCTGGCATTTATCCTACGTGACTGAGATCACCACTGTTAATCAGCATGAGTGAGAGTTGAATGCGTGCCTCCTCACCTCAGTGCCATATGGTGATTTGGAGATGACCTCAGGAGCCATCCAATAGGGTGTCCCCACTAGAGATTTCCTCTTAGGGATGTCCTTACTGATCTGAGCACAGAAGCCAAAGTCTGAAAGCTTGACCTGTGAGGGGCAAGAGAAAGACCTTTAGTGTCAAGACAACATAAATCAGACAGAAAGAAAGAAAGAAAGAAAGAAAGAAAGAAAGAAAGAAAGAAAGAAAGAAAGAAAGAAAGAAAAACAGCATATCATACCCTTCCATCTAACGTGAGCAGTATGGAGTCACTCTTGATGTCTCTGTGGATGACTCCCTGTGAATGGAGATAGGCCAGGGCTTGCAGAACAGCTTCACACACTGTGGCAATCTGCTCTTCACTCAGCCTGCAGGACAACACACACACACACACGCACAAGTTCACACACACACATACAAACAGATTTTACATTAACATTTCACACTTTTCCATTACGAGTTACAGTGAATTAACAGCTCAGGAAGTCAAAATTCATGAATCACTGCACATTAAAGGCAATGATAAAGAGTGCAAGGTTCAAAACAACAACTCCTACACAGCAGCAGAGTGACTAGCAAAACATGTTCATTCCTCTACAGTTTAAATGTGACTTTGGTATTTTGGAAGTGTAAATTAAAGGTATATGAGCCAGGATACAAAAAGGCATCCTCTAACAGAAAGCAGGGTCAGACATCCACTGGAAATCACGGTAACACAAGGTAACAGTTACCTAACAGATTGCTGCATTCTCCCACACATGACTATCATCATACGTATATAAAAGACACATACAACTATATTGGGAATAAACCTCCTGCATTAATACAGGTATTTACTTGGTTTCTTAATTGAACAGCTAGGAAAAGCAAAGAAGCAAAGGAGTCTTATTCCTGATTGTTCTGTCAATGTACTGATTATCTTAATCCTTGATAAGGAGTGTCTGTGACAGCTGGCTCATTTTATATGTCATCTGGCTTGAGAGAAATGTTTTCATCCCTTTGAGTCAAGCGATCTAACCCTGAGGTCATCCTATGGGGATGGAGCCAGCCATCTGTTAATAATATAAAACACGCTGACAGCTCAAAACAATTACACCCTGACAAAATTCCCCTGCTGCTGCTTGATATGTTTTCCTTATTTTTGATGCATGCGCTACTGAACAATGTGACAGCACCAGGAAATCAAATTTACACCCAAAATTGACTTTCCACATGTCACCTAAACATGCACATATTCGATTATGTTATTAAATTATTATCCCCCCCCTGAGAAAAGCAGCAGGCTTGGAGTGCAAGAGACAAATGAATGACAGACTTTGACGCTGCCGGGATCAACACCAGTTGATACCACACTACCCCCTTGTGGTTGATTTAGTTATCAAACATGATATCTTAACCACACAGAATGCACCAAATGCAGCTTCCTAAAGAGGGACAAAGATGTTCTATCTTGGTGGTACTCATACCTGGTTTCGGACACGATGTTGGTTAGTGCTCCACCCTGCAGGTACTCCATGATAACCCACAGCTCCTCCTCCACCAGGGCGGACTTAAACATCTCCACCACATTCCTGTGCTGATAGTCCCTCATGATTACCACCTGCAGCACAAAACATTCACATTAAAACCATTAGCAAAGTACATAACCCTCAATGTGGCCAGATTGTGGTTCTTCTACATTAAAAGGACATTTAACCTCTCAGAGCCCACCTGTTTTAAAACCAATTTGCACAATTTACATATGTAAAAATAATAAGCTTATAACAGAAGAACTGTAAGGCCAAAATGCATTTATGAGACCTCATATGAAAGGTAACGTATTCTAGTTTGAGAAACATGCTTGTTTTGCATGTGACTACAACCCAACCTAAATTACACTAATCAGCTCATACATGGTAATTTTTTATTTTTCAGTCCTCGCCTGTAAAAAAAAAGTCATATTACATAACTACCAACAGGATATACTTTATATAAGAACAAAAAAAAGTTCCACAATACTTCTACAGCTTGTCAGAAACTGCTGGCCTTTAGGTCTAATAGTTTAGTTTAGTAACCTTTTATAGTTCACCTTTTCACTGGTGCCCATAAACCTCTCTAAAAGAAAAACTGAGAGAAATGTGCTTTAACGCTTTAATATGAAATAATAGAAAACATACTGAAACATTTTGATGCCTAAGAAACCTTTTAAAATAGAGCTGACCCTTGTCTGTGTCATAAGCTCAGGCTATTGGCCTTGCCTCTGAAGTGCCCACCCCCCAAGTTTGCTCTGATTGGTCAGGGGAGACATCTATCAACAAGCTAGAGTCATTCAGAAAAGCTGTGAAAAAACTGACTTTTTCTGACGGGAACACATCATTACGTCTCACGCTGGCCGTCTTCTCCCAACCTCCCTGAAGTGTAATCTGATCAGATCTTTACTGGGAGGCCTCCATTTTGTAGCTAGAAAGCAAACAAACAATAGCAGACCCGCTAACACTGCAGCAGATGCCCCAGACGGGAGGAGAAGCGGATACAAATCGCTTGGTGGTCTGCTTTGGACTTCTCATGATGATATTCATAACCTGGAATACTTTTATAAGGAACCCTAAAGGTAGGCAGTCACCACGCCCCACTGGTAGATATTAATAAATCATGTTTATGTGCTTATGGTTAGTGCAAAATGAAATGAATATTTGAGACTCTAGCTGATCTAAGGAGGTACAGTCTGTCTATATTGACAAACTTTTAAGCGTTTACTCAGTCAGAACACTTTCAGAACCTCTACTGGGCCGTACATGGGCCGGCGGGCCTATGAGGAATTTAGTGCAGCACTTTAATAAAGTTAGGGGACTTGTGAGGAACAGATTAAAAAGGAATGAGAGTGAGAATCAGTGCAGAAGGGTTTTCCCCTGTATCTTAGGGGTTGTGATCTCTTTACTGTCTGATATAAAGGATAAAATGTCCCAAACAGCAGCAGAGTTCTAGCATGGGCCCAGCTCCAAAACCCAACCTCAATAGCATCTTCATCATCACAAGAGTTTCCTGCCTGGTAAATACCCAGTGTTTTGAATTCCACACTCCCAAATGTGTAATGCATTTTTCCATTTGAGCCCAAGATGACCCAGATGATATCATCAGAGTCATCTCAGACTTTGGAAAGCTCCCTCCAAAGGCACACAAGGCATTTTTCATAAGAAACAAACATATTTCAGTGTGTAAAATTGCTGTCCATTTCAATCCAGACATATTGTACATAAAATCGAGTTCCCCCTTAAGTAAGGGTTGAAAGCTAAACCACAAAGAAAACCAGTCCTGAACTTTCTGATGGGTTTCTGTAAGTGAGAATGTGTTGATACATTTCTTTGGGATTGTTTTTGTCATTCATCATTTTGTTCATAGTCAGATACTGTACCTCATTAAACAGCAGCTCTCTTCTTTGCTGCCGCCGCAGGTCCATCATCTTCACCGCTACCTGCCTGCCACTGTGCTTCTCTGTTGCAATACACACCACCCCTGTCGAACCCTCCCCTATCTTCACAAAGTTCTCCAGGTAAGACCGTGGATCGCCCTTGTCTACCACCATCTGCAGGGCAGCTTTGAATTGTTCATGAGTCACCTTGGGTGGGTCTGGGGGTGGCCTGGGTGAAGGGTGTTGTGGGGGCCTAAAGGCAGGGGAGCAGGTGCCGGGGGGACTGGTAGCTAGAGAGCCTGTAGGGGAGGGTCGAGGTTGGGAAGGACTGTCCTGCCTGGGGTAAGGAGGGTTGGGGCATCCAGAGTGTCTGAGGAAGGGGTCTGGCCCACTGGGCCTCAGTCCCATGTTAGGTGACAGGCCCAGGGTGTAGCTAGCTGAGGAACGCACTGTCCGCTGGGGTCTGATGCCGCCCACAAGGGGACTGCTGGTGCCAGTGGGCAGGAAGCCGGAGTGGTATCTCACTGTCGTCTCTGCCTGCACGATAAGAGAAAAAGCGTGAGGAACATTAAGAGCGGGAGCTGAGAGGTGGTTGGCCGCCTGCCTGTGGTTCAAGACCTGCTTTAAAACTGAATGTAAATCAAGTCCTTCACTCTCTCTCTGCAGCCACCTTACCCGATATGACCCATGTAAAGATGTTGCTATATGCACCCAAGCGTCCTGCTGAAATTTTGCCAAACACACCATCTCTCATGTTTTACAACTCCACTGCCACTTTAAACCCACATTTCATATTTTAACTCTAGAATTAAATAAAATACTCAACCCCAGAACTTTAATCACCTCTAATGTAAAGCCAGTCAATAGTCTGCCTCACTAATGTTTCCCCAAGCTAAGCATGAAAATGATTCCTGATGATTTCTTGGCAAAAGACTTGTATTTAGCTTATGTATTCAGTACTCATGCAAAAACATGCTGAGAACTAATAATAAGATGTACATTGCATTAGCAGAAATATGCATATATTGTATATTCCACGAATAATGTATTATCAGTGCACTTAATGGCTGCAAAGAAACTGCTGTAATGTCAGGTTTACCTTCAGGTCATAGGAGGAGAATGGCCTCCCAGGGCTGTTCTGTGGGTGCATGTACATCGGTACGCTTGGCCGGAGCTCCGTGGTGACTGTCCCTTGATCTCCATGGGGCGGCTGTACAGTCATAGCTGGGCTGTAGAAACAAGCTATAGGTCTCTGATTTGTTGGCATTCCCCTTGGCAGCTGGAAATCTCTCTTCCATATCACTCTCTCCTGAGGGCTGCCCACCTCACCGCTCATATAAGCCTCGTGACTTGGCATCAGGATGTTCTGGGCCTGAGCAAGTTGTGAGGGTCCCTCCTGGGAGCTGACGCTTACTTCGTAGGTGGACTTGGCCTTTGGCAAGATCCCGTTGGGTTGCAGAGTGATGCTCTTCTTCATACCCAAGTAAGGGGTGTTGGTCTCACTGTGGATGTTCCTGGCCTTGTCCCTCCACTGGTCCTGACCCACATCCTCGTCGTCTTCATCATCATGGGTCAGACCCTCATACTGGTAAGTGTCTGCCTCGTTCACCTCTCCCAGCCTCCCCAGAGACTGGGCTCTCTTCCGGGCCGAGGGGCTACTCTTCCTAAGAGAGTTGGAGCTGGTCACAGACAGGCGGCTCATATCATTGATCATGGCTGCAATGTAGTCCCCATGACCGATCATGCTCCCACGCACAATAGTCTGAAAGAGGAGAGGCGTTTATCTTTATCACATAGCGCATGCCGTGATCACATTATAGAAAGATTTCAGACTGAAAGGAATAATTAGGCTAACATAATCATTGCTCAGAGGCAAGTTAAATTTAGACTTGAGAATCTGTAGAGGACATCTTTGTCATTCTTCAAAGACTTTAAATAATTTCACCAGTGGCTTCTATTCTGACAGTACACTGACAAATATAACAAGCAAATGTTTCAACGGACGCACTACAAATACAGAGTCTCTACAATTGTTGCAAAATGCAGATATTACAGATAAGTGCTCCCATGACCTTTCAGGTGGTATGCGTCGTTGGCATGCAAGCAAAGGCCTAAAGTGCTCAAACTTGCCCTGATATAAAATGATCAGACAAACTTTAAGATCTTTTGCCAGAACAGTGTTAGTGTTGCAACTATAAGAGAGAGTGCATGGTGGCTCATTAGTCAGTCTCAGGGTAGAGTCATGTTCAGTTCACAGCCAGTCAACAACTTCTCCTGTTTCTCTGGTTCAGTGCCATTACATCTGCACAGTGGGGAGAGGTCAGATGACATCTCACCTACTGCAGCACCTCTCGGAGAGGAGAGAATGGCAGGTGATAATGGCCTTGGTGAGAAATCCTATTTTAGAAGATGCTGTAATAACAGTTTGACTACAATACTTTGGGATGAAATTAATGAATGAATAGTTTGAAATGACAAACTAACATGTTTGCAATAGAGGGGTCTTGTGGGTAACGACAAACTCATCATTGATGATGCTATTAAAACCATAAATCTCACCTAAATGCTGATGGTTCTCATATTGCACAGCACTAATCACATCATGGCGGTAATGAAATGTTGGTGTTTTTCTCAGTTTTTTTTTTTTCTGGAGGGTCATAAACTGCATCGACAGTATGCTCTGTGAAGTGTAGAAATCCTGAGATTTGCAGACTCTATCACTCACTGGCATTTACTCTGCTGTACCTGCACTTTTTATCCTTTCTGCTTGACATCTGTGGGAAGGCACCATGGACTGTTATTAATTGCCTGCATGAAGTAATAAATCTTGTGCCCCCTCCCCTGAGTATTCAACATTGTACAGTCAGTGTACACAGCAGGGTCATTAGCCCAGCCCCATGATAGATAAGAAAATAGAAAAGACGGGGAGGGGAGCAGGCCTTCCTTCCACATTGTCATCAGAGGGTTATGGCTTTTTCTGAGACAGCAGGATCTCTCTGAGGTGCTGAAGGGTACAACAACATCAGAGGTTAAAGGTAAACTTTTAGAATGAAAACTCACTGTGATAGCTTAATGAGAGCCTGGTTACATGGTGTGCTAGTCATTAGTTATCAGTTCATGTAAGGTTATTGGATCAATAAAGAGTTGAATGGGGAGTGTGGGTCTACCTTCTTTGGCCTCAGCTCCACCTCTGTGATCCTGGAAGGGTCCACCATGGGCCTGGGCCTGCGCAGGTTCTCTATCAAGCTTTGCCATTGTGTCGGCAGACCCACAAAGCAGCCGCGTTTGGCGTCAAACGAGGTGTGGACACGGTGCTCAAAGTTCTTGGGTGCTGATATCTCAGGCCTCTTCTTTTTCTTTTTGCGAAACATCCTCAGGTCCACGGGAACGACAGCCTGCCCACTTCAAAATATGCCTGAGAAATAGAGAAATATATTCAGCCTTTAATGAACTGCACCCAACATCACATGGCAGCATGTTTCACTAACTGTAATCTTGAAATTTGAGCATAAGCAAATCTCTCCTTCCTCAGTGATGATCAAAAGTATGTTATCACTGACTAACCCCTCGTCTTTTACTGTCTGCTCTCTGACCAGGTGTATTCAAATAAACTCTGGCAGCAGATGTTCTTTCCATGCAGCAGAAAATATTGAAATGGCGACATCGTAGACATGGGATGTATATGTCCCACGCTGCCTTGCTGGCTGTCACGAGCTTGTGCCTCTGAGAACCGCTCCAAGGAGAGTGGATGGATTTGTAAGCACATGTGTAATGAAGGATATCTGGTCAATTAAGGCTTATTCATTCTCTGTGCCCTTTTACTGATGAGCACGTGGGTTGGCCAGCGCCCACAGCCTCTCAGTGCATTAGCAGGACGAATACAACACGCGCACAGTCATGCACGCACACACACTTACTCTATAGAAATATATATATATATATATATATATATATATTTATATATATACAAACATGAATACACTATGGCAGGCTATCCTTCAGAACCCCTTTACAACCCTTTCATATTCCTATCCTAATTAGTAGCTCGTGTGCCCTTGATTGCAGGGAGGGTAACCACTTAATCCCTGGATGGATGGTCCTGCGTTTGGCAAGCCGCTAACTTGGGTGTATTGTATGTTCAGCTTTATTTTCCATTCAAGTGTAGGGAAATAATTAAATACATTACATTTCATTTCCTCAGCCGCACAGCTGTACTGGCAGATAATCACTCACATTTAAGTCTCATGATTTGTATCTAGCCCAGCTAGCAGCGTGGCTCTAGGGATGGCATTGTCAGTCTGTTGGTCAGTCTGTTGGTGGGTCCACCACTTTTGCTACAGACTTAAATAGCTCCATAAATATTGGATGGATTGCCACAACATTTTGTACAGACATTAATGGTTCCCTTATGATCAATCCTGCTGACTTTGGTGATCCCCTGACTTTTCCTCTTGCATCACCATTAGGTTCACATTTGTGGTTCAGAATGAAATATCCCTACAACTTTTGAATTTGCTACGGATTTCAAAGTTGCTAAAGGGTACGTCTTAATGTCGTGGGTGAACTTCTTCATTTTCCTCATCACGTCAGAACACTGCTGTTTGTCACCAAACACTGGTAAAACTAATGACATCCCCGTCAACCTCTGTTGTACTTCTACTGCGTTTACTGCTAAATATTGAAGTAGAGGAAAAAACATCGCACTCTGCAAAGACCAAGAAGAGACAGCTGGGGTGTGCATGTGACCGAAGTGGGAGTCCAAAAAATAGAAAATGGATTTGCACACCCAAATGAAGTAGACTGTTCCTTTTACTCAGTTTTCAAGGTCAAAAACCAGCACAGGGGGAAAACTGGCACATGTTTTGTCTATGCCTTCTTCATTAGACAATACTCCTTCAGTTTCATGGTTGAGTCCTTTTAGATTTAACCAATGAGTGACAAAGTAATTACCAGCAGGCAGCATGTAGCATCAAGTGGCTACCTGTAGCCTAATTAGTAGATATTAGCATGCTAACATGCTAAACAAATTCTGTACTTGCCAAACATAAACATGCTGATATCACTGTGAGCATGTTAGCTTGCTGAGGACACCGTCTAGCTCAAGTCTGAATCTAAGTACAGCCTCACAGCCGCTAGTATGACAGTAGGCCCTTGTTTATTTTAGCAGGGCGTAGCACTTATAGGCCCTAGATGTATGTGGCTAATGCAGAGGCCCGCAAGGTGCCCTGAGAATATCAGATACAATCTCCCATCATGCACTGTGAAATGGTGGGAGTTGAGGAAATGAGTTTTGCAGCCGTCCGCAGCTCAGCAGGCGATCACGCTGGCAGCCTCTCCTCTCTCCACCTCCGCCCTCAGACCAGCACGCCTCTAATCGCCATCAGCGACGCCTGTTACGGGGTGTATTGGTGACTAACCTACGCCACTCGCCTCGCCGCATCACTCGAGGGTAAAAGGGGGACAGGCCCACTTGGCCAGATCAGCCAAACCTGCCTCATTACAGGAAGGTGGGGTTAGGATGAGAGAGAGGAGTTGTTTGTTTGGGGGGGGGGTCACCCTCCAAGGATAATTCAGTCACAAGGCTAATATGCTAAGTGTTGCATAAGTGTATAACTGTGCTCTCCCTATGTACATAATGTGGTGCTGGGAAGGACTTTAATTTTATGTGACAGGGACATTATGGTGTGAGCGCTCTCAGGAGGTGGGGAGAGAGGAGTTGGGGCCAAGATTACAGTCAGACCTGGATGTATTGGAGAGAAGGGGACCCTGTTTCCTCCCTGCAGACACAGAAAGGCTTTTAACCACCAATTGTGGCTGCCTTTTTAATAACGAATGTCTGAGAAAACAAGCTACAAAACAGATTGTGATCCTGTCTTTTCTTTTTCTTTTTCCGCTGCATATAAGAGACTATCTGCTTAGATAGCTGCTTAACGTGCAGATGTTGGCATTGCCTGAACAAATATTTACACATAGCGCTCATGTATCCTTTTACAAGCAGATCAATCAATATGTACTCATGAGTGAAATGCAAACTGCTACAGTCCTACACTGCCAGCGGTAATGGGGCGATACCAGCACAAATAGGACGGCTGCTTTGTATGGTACTTTATCAAGCTTCATCGGTTCAAAGCAGCGGAGAATAGAACATATCACAGCATTCATTATTCATCTTCAACCACTGTTCCCCTCTGAAGACTCTGGAAATACAAACTAACCACTGTGACATAAGAAGCGAGCAGAAACACGCACTTTGTTGATTCATGCCTGGGCAGAATAAATTGAAAAGTTGATGCAATTATTGATTTACAAGCTTTAATCACACACAACTGGCCTTATATTGACCTATCTGACTCTGTCAAGCTTATGACTGTCTTGATAACAACGTGCTATTGATTTCTAAGCCTGTTGTATAATACATGTGTACAGAGCTGAACTTGCACAGTGCATAATTACACTTTCTGGTCACATCCTTCAAAACTGCAGGGATTTGACCCTATGCCTCAGCGGCTTGTCTTGAATCTATCATAGCGCTGAGGCAAAACTCAGCCAGCTGCTGTCAGGGATATGAAGAGCCAAAGAGGATGAGGTCACTCTAAAAAATTGTGCTACATTAGATATTTCCATCTCTGCAACTGTTTGCAGGAGCAAAAAAAATTTTAATAGATCCAAATGCATGACCTGAAAACGCACAAATCCGGTCCTTGAGAAATAAAATCTCATGCACAGGAAATCACATGAGCAAAAAGCTGTTTGTAGCAAATCTGCTTGAGAAGTCTGACTAAACACAAACCTATGAAAAAAAAGATGATGAGGCATTCAAATTGTGAAAAAACATGCAAATAGATGTCATTTCTCTGGAGAGAGTCTTCAGTTAATCCCATCCCTATTTCAAAACTCAAATGAAGGTCCAATCACAGCCTTACCCTCTGACTATATGGAGCGTCTTGCCCTGTCAGAGCGGATGGGCCTCTCATGCCATGCAGAAATGCAACCAGGCAATCCATATGTTTCCCACAGACAACATGACAGAAGAGGAGAGGACTTGCTCGCCTTCCTCTCATGTTCAAATCACCCCGAGCAGGAGTTGTGGATGAGTGGGAGGGGATCGAGAGATAAGAGAGATATTGGATTTGTTCGACGTTGGTGCTCTGAGCTCTGTTGAATGATTTTTTTTTCCACCCCTGTTTGCCCTGATTTCTGCTTCTATCTTTTTTTTGTTGGCGTGCATGCAGAAATGTAGTGAGTGTGCAGGTGACTGTGCTCACAGAATTAGTGTGGTGTTCAGTCCTTCACTGATCTAATTTTAGGACACGTCACCCCCCCCCCCCCCCTCCTCTCTAGCATCAGACACGTGTTTATTTTGTACAGAATTCATGTCAAATAGTGAGGTGAGGGTGGGAGACGATGGAGATGAGGTAATCCTCTTTTTGTGTTTGTCAGTGCATGTATAAGCATAATCCAGCTATAGTGAATTACAGCGGGCTACATCTATTTCATAGTGGCATAGATAGCATCGAGGTCTTAACTGCTGTTTTTGGACTCTGCAGTGCAGTGTGGTGTGGAGGGCTTAGAGATTGCTCTTCTATCAGCTTCATTATGATGACCGTTTTGCCCTTTGAGTGTAATGAGACTGCCTCTCACGGGGGGGGAGTGGGAGAAGGGGCGGGCGAGCGCGGGGGTTTGTTGGGATGTTTTGGGGTTCCCCCCTTTTTTTTTTTTTTTTTTTTTTTGGTTGGTCATCTCTTCCTTGTGCTTTGTAAAAGCACTGGACGTGACCGGGCAGTACAATAGCAGTGTTTATGATTTAAGTTGATGTCTGCTTTCTCTTTGAAGTCACCTCTGCAGACATGGAAGGATTGTCAATAGGAGACGACAAGTGATGTAATAAGCTGCATTCAATGACATGGAATAACACGCTGCTGCCATGCATATTTCATGCTAGCGGTCTGATACATCATGCACAACAAAGCACTTGGAATATAAGGAGTGTTGGAGAATGGCACGCATTTACTACCTCTGTGAAGTCTCCCATGTTGCAAATGTGGCTACGCTTACGAGCACAGTTTTGCTTTTTTTAGCCATGCTAGCGGCTGGGGATCTGTCGGTGCAGCACTTTGGTCCAGACTGAAATAGCTCAACAACTATTGGATGGATTGCCATGAAATTTGGTTCACATTCATGTCACCCTCAGGATGAATTAGAATCACTTTGTTTATCCCTTAACTTTTCATCCAGCGCCATCATCAGAGATCGGCATCATCAAAGTTCAATTGGCCCTAAATCATTAGGAATAAATACATGCAAAAGTAATTACCCTCCCATCTGCCTCAGCTGTATTTTGTGTGTGGTGCCTATTAGCAATTGTTAGCATGTTAGCATGCAGACATTATCATTTAGCTCAAAGCACTGCTGTGTCTAAGCCTCACAGAGCTGCCAGCATGGCTGTAGACTCTCAGTCTTGTTTGTTTGACACTGATCGATCATTGTGAAAGTAATTCATTAAAAACATGAAATACAGTGCCCACGAAATTAAAGGAGTCACTCAGAGCCACAGGAGGTCCAGGAGCTAAGAGAAAAGTGGCAGTGAAGATGTACTGTGCCAGTTTTTTTCTAAAGTGGTCAAATAACATTTTTCCTAGTCCTCTGTGTATCTGTATCTCTGATAAAAAAGCTCCAGACAGAGTTAAGGACACAATGTAGAGCATACCCAAGGGCATGTGAAGTGAATGTTATGGACTAGTTTCAGTAGAGCCTATGGTTTATAAACAGCCAGTGCCAAAGTGCCAAAGGAAGTTAAAGTGCACAGTGAGTGTAAATGATGATAAAGAAAATTGTCAGAGGCAAATAAAATTCAATGAAACGGCCAATTGTGTCCATGTTCTGCATTTCATTTAGCAAAACTCAACATTAAGCAGGGATGACCCATATTCACACACAGAGTTCATTGATTGTGACATATCTTGGGGTATTTTAAATGTCATGTAACTCGCAGCGATGCGTCATGTGTCGGCTTTCACTCAAACCTCAGTATGAAGTGGTTTAAGTCAGAGATGGTTTGAAGTCATAGAGCACAGCGTTTCTGAGAAAGTAAACCATCAAAGAGCTTGTCTGTCATTTTCTTGAGCACCGAATGGGTAAGAGAAGGCCCGAGGATTGAAAGTGTATTGTAAAATATGATGGCCGTGCCCAACAATGCGGGCTGTCAGCTCTTCAAGGGCAGACATCTGCGCAGGAGTACACATCAGTCCTGTGTTAATATTGACAGGAGGAAACAAGAAATGAGAAGTCAAGACATAGAGGAGGAAGAGTGGGGGAGGAAAGGAGAGCCTAGACACTCAGATGTAGTGACGGAAAAAGAGAAGGAGATAAGTGAAAGTACAGAAAGGAAAGGAATAAAGAACATGCTGAGTAGAGGGACATGCAGAAAGTATTCAGACCCTGTGTCTGCTTTCACTTTGATGGACAAAAATGGCAATTTTATCCATTTAAAATGAAACCTACAGCACAGTAAAGTGTGCAAAAGGTGAAGGGGCATATTTAAAGCTCTTGTTCCCTGAAAATTAATGTTCTACATGCTTTGTTGCCTCATCTAGTGGCACAATATCCGCTCTGAAAATGTAACCTCTTTTCTCCCATCATCTCCGGCAGCTTTGTCTGCAGTAAACAAGCCACAGTAAAGGGGATTTGAGGACAGGACAGTCGAATCAACAGAGCACATACATCATTCTGTCACCTGACATATTGGCACTGATTCTCCCGGATGAGAAAAAATGGATAACAAAACTAGTTTGTTCTTCCCCTGCAGCGAGGAGCATGGACATTAATGTGCAGTTAAAGCTACAGTCTCTATCTACTCCAAACACCTTAACATAATGACATTGTAAAAACAGCACTTCTAGTGTCCTGGGGGCTTTTATGGGATGTTCTATTGATGCTGACACATCGCTAGAAAAACACAATCTTAACTCAGGCTTCTCCGCGCAGTGTAACAATATGTATACTAAAGGCTAAAGTCAGGAGAGTAAGAAAATGCAGCACTGACCAACACTCTGGTTAATTAAAGATCCTCTTGGCTCTCACAAGTGCTTTGAACAATTTGATGCTGCGCTGATAGAGACATATGATCAGCCTGGACCAATGGTATGAGCCTAACTCTTCTCTCTTGGGTCTAATTTATTGATGCGCCAGGCCTCAGTGCAAGCGTTACTGTACGCGCATGTGCTTATGAAAGCTTTGATTTATGTTTTTTTAGCCCAGGCCTCAGCGTGTCTCTCCCAGGGACAAAGCACCAACCATTTTTAACCTCCGATCCTTTCCAGTATCAATCTGCGCCGACTCTGCCATCCTCCCTTGTCACCCAGCATGGGTGCTGCTTCAGCCCAAAGAGGGGACACAAGGCATGCTGTCCTAATTTGGACTCAGAGCCTGTTTTAATCCTTAGTGCTTGATGTCTCATGGCCGATGGCGACGCTAAGCTGGTAATGCACGTTGTCCCCTCCTTCCATGACACAATCATTCCTGAAAACAACCGTGAACGCAGCGGGGGCACGTGACAGTGACGTACCACCTACACCTGCATGCTGTGTTGATGCATGTGTGTGTGTGTGAGAGAGAGAGAGAAAGAGAGAGAGAAAGAGAGAGAGAGAGGTGCCTATCACTTTCTGTCCTGTCAGTGTCCCAGTGCGTGAGTCTGTGCTGCCAGTTTGCGTTGAACTTCAGAAGACACCCGAGTTTAAACATCACCCTCAGTGAAGCAGATGTCCAGCTGTGTGTGTGTGTGTGTGTGTGTGTGTGTGTGTGTGTGTAGCATAGCAGTGTGTGTGCATGCACCAAAGAGTCCTTCTCTGTCACCTCCTCTACCCTTTCCCTCCTCCTTCTCCTCCTTGAATATCAATGAGTAACCTGAGACACAAAGACGTTGTAGTTTAAGACTTGCAGGGCCTCAGTTACGTCATCATCATCAGACTTATGAAATGCACAAATGAAAACACTAATGCAGAGAATGCAGTTTGTGTTAATGTCAGTGCGGTAGATGCCTAGTCACAACTCTTAGTTTGAGTCAAACAAAGGGCTCGAATGTAGTTTTTGGTAGCAAGTGCATGAATGTTGTGATACCAATATGAATGGTGCAACTGGACTAAAACTAAAAATCTATACACTTCTTTAAAACTCCTTAGCCTCTCATTGATTTTCACCGGGGATTTTGCATCTAATAGAAAGACTTCACAGACCCGTTTTCTACCATTCCGAGCAGCTTCCTTGCTTCTCAATGTCTCAAATTCTCTGAGTCAAACACAGTTCGACCATCGCCTCCCGCACTTATGCAACCTCTCGTATGACAGTTCGGGTTTTCTAATGATCACCCTGATTTACAGATGAAAGTAAATGTTGTCACGCAGATATGTCACATGTCAGTCTCCTCTCCTGTGCCTGTTTTCCCACAGCATCCGTCTCCTGAAGTGTGTATCTACAGCAGCGGCTCGAATCCTCATGCACTAGTAGAACAAGAAAGATCACCTGAGAACTCAGCCTACACACACACACACACACACACTAGAATACACAATGGTACAAACAGGACGCTTCTGTACCCGTGCTAGTGGCACAGTCTGTATTTGTCAAGTGTGATCCATCTCGAGAGAGAGAGAGAGACAACATTTTAATGATTTTTGAATCCTTTTCTGTGAAACAGAGGTTGAGGACGGAGGTGACAGTGACGGGGGGAGAAAGGGGATGTGGGGATTTTGAGGACGAGGGGTGAGCAGAAGGTGAAGGCTCCTCTTTTGAGATGCAGTCCATCACTGAATACGTCCAGCAACCCTCTGAGTCTTCCCTTTTTCCTGTCTTTCACCCCCACATCAGCACCTGGCTGCACTGCATTCTGCTCACAGCCTCTCCACCTCCTTCTTCTCTTCCTCCACCACAGCTGATGCCTACCGACAGTACACTCGAGCCTGCTCTTTATCAATGACGTTAAGCCTCTTTCCCTCACTCCCCAACCCCCTGCTTTACCCCACTCTCTTCACCGTGGAGAGAGGAAATGGGGGAAATGGGGCTCTGGAGGGATAAATCATTGTTAGAAGAGCATAAAAAAAAAAAAAAAAAAAAATCAGTCCCCCTTACCTTGCCGTCCAGTGAAGAGGGGAGCCTCTCTCCTCCAGGAAGGATTGGAAGCGAGAGTGCGCACATACACACTCACATACACTATTATACACTGCTCACTCACATCCACACACACGCATCCACTCACACACAGACATACACGCTCCCTCTCTCATACATACACACAACGACAAGGAGGGCTGGCTCTCAAGCAAGCGCACACTGCAGGCTGCCGCTTGCCTGGGAAAGCCTGATGCGTTCCTCCCTCCAGGCAGAAGCACACACTGCCATCTCAAAGGCTCTTTGTTGGGGCTGATTCATCCCCTGCTCCGTGGCTGAGTGCTGGTCTGTGTACCGGTGCCTGCTCCCGGGGACACAGGGTGACCGTGCAAAAGAGGGACAAAGCCATGAAGAGGAAAGGCAGCATCCAGAAGGAGAGAATATCACAGCCCCATACAGCTCCTTCCATCCCCCCCTCTCTCCCTCTCTTTCTCTGGCTCACTGTATCTCTCTCTCACTCACACACACACACTCCCTCCCTCCCTCCCACCTCTCTCTCTCTTGCTCTCTTGCTCTCTCTCTCTCTCTCTTTATCACTTCCCTCCTTCTCTGCCTCCTCCCACTCCCTCATTGGGCTGCAAAAGAATTGATAGCAGCGTGTGTGTGTGTGTGTGTGTGTGTGTGTGTTTTAAGCTGGTTTCTAATGACTGTAAAGAAAGGAGAGCTCCTCTACACCTCATCACCTGGGATACCTTTCACCCCACCCCCACCCTCCACCTTTCTCCCTCTGTCTCCTTTACATGTGATGTGGGTGACATGAGAACATGAGGGTGCTGTAGTCGTTCAGTGTGCTGCTGTTCAGTCAAATGCATTATCCATGGAATGACAGGGTCAGGGATGGCAGATGGCGGGAGGGGTTGTTATTTCTGTATATGTGTGTGTTTGAAGGGAGCGGGGGGGGGGGGGGGGGGGGGGGGGGGGCATCGTGGAGCTATTTCTGTAGAGGGTGCAATCCCCATCCTCACAATCGCTTTTGACACCAGTGTGACCCAAAAATCTTTGGGGATGGAGCCACAAGAAACCAAAGTTACAACGATGCCCCAGTCCAGCATCCTCATTATTTGGCTGAAACGTTCCCTTCTCTTTCACCACAATCATTTCCTGAATAATTTATACAGCAGCTAAGACCAGACACAAAGCAGGAAAATGTATTAGGGTCAAGTCATACAGAAATTGCTTGCAGAGTGAGCCAGATTTGGGGCATACATGTAATACATGGTGTTTTGATATGGGAGACACTATAACAGGCTTTAATAATGATCTTCCTTCCTTACACATCAAATAAACTCAGGTGAATCAGGCTCCACTGAACCCAATCTGCATAACAATGACAGATTTGCCTGTTGGGGGTATGGGAGATGTGACCCCACCCTCTCTTTCATTCTTACTTGTCAGCTACTGTGTCATTGCCACATATTTATTGGCGTGGCTATATTCTACTACCTTGCATGAGTTATTTTTTCTTTTGAGTTCAGAGCCGCGAAACGCAATAAAACGATCTTGTAATTGGTGTCTTCATATGCAAAAATATGGTTATCACTACAAAAACAGTCGTGTTTGCTCAGCCATCCTGAGCTGAGCTGTTAATGTGCTAACACTTATCTCTGCTAGAACAGTCTGAAGGAGAGCTGGGCAGGCCAAAAGGTCAGTTAATGAAACACTTCTACCTGCATTAATCACTGAAGAACATCATTTTTGTTTCAACACATACAGCAAATACATAATATTTCATGCACTTTGCCAGAGAGAAGAGCATGTCCTCTTGTCCTTCTCGTCCAAAATACTATTGCAATATTGGCCAATATATTGTTTTTATTTGAAGATGAAATAAAAATCAATTAATTATCATTTTTTCTTTGTTTTTGGTGTGTGGGAATGTAATCAAAGAATCAGGAATCTCCTGAAAACACTTAACCCACCGATTGGATAAATATTGAAATGCAAAAAAAAAAAGGGCTTACAATGACAATACTAGTTTTAAATCACAGTGTCATTAATAAGAAAGCCCACAGGTCACATTAAGTGAAGCTTCCTTAATTATTTGCATTTCAATTAATTCTATTGTTTAGAATGAATCTGTGAGGATTACACCAGGGGTTATTGGGGCTCAGCCTACAAAGCTAATGCAAATGAAACTTCTTTTAAAAATCCAGTGACATTTCCAGAAGACCTACAAATCCTTTTTAATTCAGTAAGAGTGCAACAACTATACTAGAAAAGACAGAATGTGTTTGTGTTATTCTCCCATTTGCTTGACAATAATGTTATTTATGGAAGCCTATAGGAAAAGATAGGAAAAGATAAAAAAAAAACAAAACACAAGAATTTAGTCATGAAAAAAATCTAAAAAATGTGCTTGGCACTGTAAATCACAACTATGAAATAAAAGGTCACAATTTTGACTGAAAATTATGCTACGTCATATGACTTCAAAATCAAAATTATGAGATGTTTGTCATAATCTTATTTTACTAAGTCAAACTAATAAATTATGAATCATTCAGTCAAATATGATGTACTAGGTCAAAATTAGGCTATATGTCATTATTTTAAAGTCAAAATAATGACTCACTAAGTTAGAATAATTTCTTACTAAATTAAGATTATAATATAAGTCAAAATTGTCACTTAGAAAGTGAAAATTTTCCTTTAATATCATGACTTATCTTTCTTTTCCTTTTCCTGACAGAAATGGGCCTCCACAATAACGATAACATTTTGTGAATAGAAATTGGACCAGTGATTTGCTGCTGCACTTTTCCCTGGCTTGCCGAGTGCAGTTCACAAAATGAACAAAATTTCTACTTGTGTCTTGTAAGTGAAATTGAATCTTGGACCGAGAACTTTCTGTTAACTGGTGCATGTAAATACAAGCCGTGCAAATAGGTTAAGAGCGCGGACTGTAAAACATGGCCCATATAGAGCCTGAGTGTTCCTGTCTGTCGGAGTAAGAGCGCTGGACAAAAGCTCTTCTCTGAGGGCCTGTCTAAAGCACATTAAGGAAAGGTAGCCTGCTTGTACCATCTCTCTGCTGCAGTAAGAGAGAGCTATGGATTTTCTGTCTAAAGCGCTATCGAAGTCACTGGCTGCTTGCTTTCATGGGATGAGCTTTTAATAAGTCCTGCCAAATAGCGAGCTATAGAGGATGTATTATGATGTGGTTATGCTGTGTTATTATGGTGGGAGTGCATCATGTTGCCTATCATTTATCACTGAATTTCAGCTGCTGTAAGTGCTAAGCCAAAATTTAAAGTAGACAGTTTGGGAACTCACCAGTTTAGAGGATCTTGGCTGGCAGTGTCATATTTCCAGTATGAGATTAAAGTCTGTTCCTCCAGTGCTGCATGTCCATGTAAAAGCGGCAACACTCTGCGATGAAGCACATCAGGATAGTGGCCTCCTGGGGAAAACCGCGGCCTGTTCTGCCCACAACTGCAAAGGGTGGATTTCACTTGCTAATGAGCCAAGCACCTATCTTCCAGCCATTCATCAAAGTCTGCCCTGTGAGCTGCCTGTGTGTGAAGTGGATCCCATCATCACAGTACATTAGGTTTACTCACACCACTTTAGTCAGCGAGCTTCTAGGTAACCTCTGCTGGACAATGATTAACATTTGGCCAGCTGAATGGAACATTTGTTCATAAAAGTCTTTTGCCTGCAAAGTGTAAAAAGTTCAAGAGTCGCCTGCAGTGAGAAAGTTCAATTAAGTAACTTCATTAGAATAAGCAGCAACGATAATGACATTTATGACTATTTAAATGCAGTTTACTTTCACTCTTGGCAACCAGCGTCGACTCTTTAAACTACAGCAACAGATTACACTCAGCACTAATTTGTTCTTGTGCCCCATTAGTAATCCAACCACCATTACCAGGAATACAATCCATGCTTTCCCTCGCATGCCCCCTGCTGACAGTGCATTAGTACAATCCCCCTGACTTGAAAAAAAATCACAATTCCACTAGTCATCAGGCAGACATTTAACAAGTTTATTGAACATCAATGACACATGGCAGGGACAGAAGGGACATTTTACTCAGACTGAGACATAAAGTACAGTTGAATCACCTCACTGAAGCCCTTTTTCGACTGGTGGAATTGAACAGAAAAATCTGCTCAATACAAAACAACCTAAAAAAGGCAGCACATACAAAAAGCACTGTTCGTAAGAACAATGCAGATGAGAAAAACTGATGAATCCACTGAAAGTGAAATTAGGAATAACTGTGAGTAGTATTTCTGCAGAAGAGATTTGAGCAGTGAGAAACAAATCTTTTAAGCATGTACAAGAGGAGGACACATAATAATATAATACATTTTAATAGCCCTATAAGTACTACTGTGAAGCTGGTATTGTTTGTTGAAATCGTGTGGATGTTTATTGTAACCTACTGTCAGTTCTGTTGCTGTAGTTTGTGGTGTTTTGTACTGGACTGCATTAGATTGTACAGAAGTTCCCATTATTTGGTCCTCCAATCAATCCAACAGAACTAAAATAGTGTCTCAGTTCAAATGGTTTCTAAAAATCTTTACCTTCTTTGTCTTTTTACCTTTCTGAGCAACTGGATCTGCATAAACAAAAATATTTACAACAGGATGACACACGATGCAAAACAGTAATTACATGATATTTGCAGAGAACATCTGGTCAAAAAGAAGGTGACAATCCATAAAAAAACAACAATCAAACTGTAGTTGGATGTATCAGTTCGCAGCACTGGCACTAGCTTGACCCATTTGACCTCTGACCTCTTGTGATTCCTGTGCCATTTTTTTGAAGTAGCGCTCAGCACGCAGTTCCTCAAAGCAGAATTCGGCAGCGCCGCTGAGCAGAAGCTCTTTACAGTACATGCTCTGCTCTTGTGGCCTTCCTGACTCTGCTTCCTTCTGTTGCAGATGATGCTCCTGTAGTCTCTTCAGAGGAGTTTCCTCTCTGCACGGCTTACGCGCCGATAAAACCGTGTTCACTGCCGGGTTGATCTTACATGGAGTCCTGAGGAATGGAAGAAATTAATTGCATGATCTATTAAAGGGGCCAAAACTAATGATAAATGTAACATGACCATGACTTAAATAGCGGTATAGATTTCTTTGTCTGTGCAACTTCCCTGAGAAATGTATTATTATATGAAACAGAAAATCAGCAAATCATAACTTAGATCGTAACAGGAGGTGCTTTACGTAAATATCAAAATTGTTGATTCATTCATTTCAGTGCCAGACATCAATTTCAGGAATATGTTGCTTCTTATCATCATCAACCTGAATGCATGATGTACATTTAATATCCAACGAATAAAAGCAATGAATCAAAACTGCAGATAAAAGGTAGATTCTTGTGGTCACTCACATTGTTGGAGGCTGGTCTGACTCCTCAACAAATGGTTGGAAGGTAGGTTTGGGAGGCGGTGGAGCCATAACAGTATGCCCAAATTTGGACTTCTGGGGTAACTATGATGCACAAAAAATAAGTGTTAAACTGACGGGCCTGGGTTATATTTTACATATTTAAATTACATTATGTAACACCTGCTTGTGTCATACCTTGACATCACACCATTTTTCTGGTCTCTGCTCATTCTCCTTTGCTCTAGAAGTGGGAGGAGCCATCCAAGGCTCCATTTTAGGCTCTGATGGACCAGCACTTTGAGTCTTGCTTTCATCAAAGATCACCAGCTGACTGTTGGAAGCATTACCGAGAACAGGGGCACCACGTGACTGTAGGCCTCCAGAAATACCTGTCCACAAAGCCATCAAACAATTACATTAAACATCTTTTCCAACAATAATGCTGTTGATTAAAAGAGCTGGAACATTTTAAAGTTTCAGCTGACTGTTTCACGACATGTGTAAATTACATGTGTGTGCTTACTTCTAATTGCAGGCCCAGTTCTGTTGACAGGAGCAATGGCTTTTTTCTTCCCTCTATGTTTGAGGTCAACCAAAGAAACTCTCTCAGATTGTTTGGGCTCATCATCACTATCCTCCTCCTCCTGCACATTCATCATCACCTGTCGGGCCACACGTGCCTGCAGAGCCCTATGAATAACAATACAGAAAACTGTGGTTATGATTATGTTGAAAACAGGGAAATAAAGCACTTTCCAAACGGAGATGTTTATTTATCTCAAACTGTTCTGCATTGATTCATACCTATGAAACTGCAGGAGCTTATCATGTGGCTCAGCACACTTCTTGAATCCCTCCTTGTAGACCAGGTCTGCTTTGCGACTGTTGCCTTGATTTTCATACTCCTCAGACCAAGCAATGTATAAGGATGCCTGTGTCACTCCTATTCCCTGCGCTTGCATGTACCTGTAAATGTCCAAGGGCTCTGGGCATGTCTCAGCCTATAGACACACAATGCACATGTATGGCAAAAGTTATTCCTGCTGTATGACTTTGTCAGAGCAGCAAAATTAGTCAGGGGTTAATTATTACACATACAAATTTGATCCAGAGGTCAACATAGCGAGGGTCGTTGTGATATTTCTTTTCCTCTGTGAATCTGGTTGCGACCCGTTCCAACAGAGTGTTGAGGTTGCTCTCCTTTCCTCCCTGAGGGATGGTTTGCTCTGTCCACTTTATATACCTGTGAAAGACAGATGCATGTAAGGATTTAATATAAAACCTCCCAGATTTAAGAGTAACACGTATGACTACACTTTACTGTTTACATATTTCAGTTACCGATCCCAAACATCAAGCGGATCATCTCCCTCGTACATTCGCAGTTCAGACTCAAAGGCCCTGGAGAAGCAAAAAACCACAAAACTCCATCATTATATGAAAACTGCTGGGAAAAACTGTTCAGCAGAAATTGCCAGCGCCAATCCAGCTGCAATGTATTAAAGCTCATCCATACTGTCTCTGTTGGTTGATGGCAGAGCTGAGCCCATCCTGTTGTTGACTAAGTGCTTGATGTAAGGCTGATATGTCTCTGCCCCGCCGCAGTGGCTGGATGTTTTCTTTGCTCAGCTCCCATTCCACATCTCCTCCTTCTGCCATTGTGGAAATTAAAACAACGAGATGCCTACACAGAGACACAAGTGTATCAGTCACTTTTTGATTTTTTTTTTAAGTCCCCTTAATTGTTTTAAAATCTCTTCCTGCATTGATGATCTCTTCATTGAATGTCATTTTCAAGAAGGCAAATTTCCACTATGAGTATAAGTATATTTAACTAGGTTTGTACCTCGTAATGCATTTTCATGTATAATATTTCCCCATATAAATATTGTCTACTATACACTTATTATAATAATAATCGTTGTTCATTATAATCATAATCATCATTCAGGGCTTAGTGCTTGAGTGTGCAAACTGGACAGAAAAGGAGTAATGCGAATCATAAACAGGAATATTACATGGATATTCTTGTTATATAACATGACAGGATATTAGTAAGAAGGTGTATTAACATAATATCTACACAGGAATGGAACAATTAAAATGCAAACTGGTAAAATGTTACGATCTTACACAACATAGCATGTAACACAGAAACAAAATAGTAGGCTACTTCTTGTAGCTAACGTCTGACAACAGTGACGATACTGAGGGCATGACGTGTGGGAGCTAGCACACCAACTAGCTAACATTTGCTTTCAATCGGTTTCGTCGATGTTCGCAGTATTAGCCAAAATAAACGGTCATATATAAAAAGAAAGAACTGTTCGTCTATAAAATTGCGCTTTTTCATACCGCTTACAAGCCTCCTTTGCCTTTTTCCAGATTATAGAACAAGTACAAAGCTGTAGCACGGATCGCTGTTGAACGGTCGGTTTTGTGTTTTGAACAACGACCGCGAGATAATTTGGAGAAAGCTGATTGGAGGAACCAGAAACAGGAAAACGTACATTGACGTCACGCCGCATCTTCCGGAATGGTTCCGGTTTTGATTTTAGCAACGCTGAAAGGTTGAAAACAGGCAGTTAGCTGCCAACTTATTTTTCGTTGACTCGATTTTCTCCAAATATTTACCCACAATAGCAGTACCGGTACAAGTATAATTGCCTGTCACATGACTCTACATGCGTCGGCATGGACAACCGTTGTTTTTGTTGTGCATCAAAGTTCAGCCTCTTCAAGAAGGAGGTAAGGTCTGGCTGACTCATAATAATCACGTAGGTATACGAACGAAAACGGATAGTAAATGTGTAATTTACGTTGCTATGTCCCCACAGCTGGGCTGTAAGAGCTGCGGCCGCTCCTTCTGCTCCAGCTGTTTGACTTTCAGTGCTGTGGTGCCTCGCTGTGGCACCACCCAACAACAGAAGGTGTGCAAACAGTGCCACGGCAATCTGACAAGGTAAAGGCCAAACCAGAAAAGAACAAAAAATTAAATGTGGTTATTGCATAAGCCTTAAGGCCTCTTACCTGTCTTTGTCTCTTCATTTTTAGTGGGGAGTCTCAAAGCAGTGCTGGAAGATGGTCCCCTCCAGAAAATTACAAAAAGTGAGTATATGATCAAATTTGAAAAACAACACTTTGTCAACACAACAGTTTCATGATTGTTCATGTTTCTTTCATAGACGAGTCGCTGCACTTGAGGCCAAACAGCAGGGACAGTCGACACAGCCTCTTGCACATGGAGGATGTAGAAATAGCAAAGGAGGCCATCTACCTGCCAAAGGCCTGAGCAAAGAAGATCAGGCTATTGCTGAAAGACTTCAAAAGCTCAAAGAGGATACTACACCCAGTAATGGAATTTTTAGCACCTACTACTTCGATTTAATCTGATAACTATAGTAATAACATCTTTTCTCTTGACAAAAGTCACTTTAAGCTTTTTACCTCTTCTTCAGAGTCTATCCCCTCTGAGAGAGATCTTGAGTCTCGCCTCGCTGCTCTGAAAGCTCCAAGCCGGCCAGTGCCTTCTGCAGAGGAGATGGAGGACCGTCTGGCAGCTCTGCGGGGTCTGCCTCCACAATCTCAAGCTCCTCCAGCTGTGAGCTAAGCCCCATCCTACTTGTTTGTAACTCCTCAGGCCTTACACTACAGCCCCGTGACAGCATAAAATATTTGACGTTATTAAAAGGAAATGCATGGTAAATAGTTTGCTATAACTGCTTACCAGCATATGTACTTGTGTGTTCATCTGTACAGGTGCACAAGCCTCCAGATAACAGGACTCAGACTGAACAAGCCAATGATCTGCTTAATCAGATGACAGAGGAAGTTGCCATTGATGAGCAACAATCAAATCCTGAATGCAGTAAGATCGTACTCCTCTCACTGTTTTCACTCATATTCAATTGATAATTCATGATGTGCGATTATACAATGACCACAGCACTGTGTAACAATCTTGCAGATTATATCAGATTATATCACTGTAATCAGGCAACAAAATCTCACCTCATCCAGCTACTATGTGGGTCTCCCAGATATGTTCAAACCTATTATTCTCCCTGCAGGTGCCAATGGCCGTATGAACGATCTTAACAAGGGGGAGGGGGGAATACTGGATGAGAATTTGGAGGAGAATCAGGATGCGGTCAAGCAGCTAGAGGTTGAGAAGGCCCGTCTGCTCGACGAGGCCATGGAGGAGCTGAGGAAGGAGCGGCATTCCCAGGATCAGATCCTCCACATGGCCAAGAGGATGGCCCAGCTGAAGGGGCAGGACCCAGACAAAGGTAGATAACATGTATTACTGACATACCACTGTCTTTACCATATCTGTTATCTATGGTTTTACACCACAATATCAGATATACAGTATACGATACGATAGTAATCATTGTGGCCAAGAGAGAAGTGTGGATGTGCTAGTGTATCAGAAACCTGTCACTGTTTATTCTTTTTTTTTTTCATATCACTTCTAGTTACTATGGAGGACTTCCAGCACCCTGACAGTGATGAGGAGACTGAGGAGGAAGCAGTGAGGAGAGTGTTGAAACAGGTGTGGAGCTTAAGGCAAATTAAACTTTATATTGTGATATAGATGGTAATGACACATATCACACCCATGGTATGGAGAGCTAACTCAGACCAGTCTGGGCGGCCACAAGGGGCTGCTATTTTGCCATTTTAATTATTTGTAATGTGAACTACAGACATGCTCTGAAATTCTTATTTTTCTGTTTGTTTGTTTGTTTTCTTGTCCAGCTCTCAGAAGAAGCTGCGCTGGATGAGGCCAGTGGCTACAACATACCTTTAGAACAGAGTGGACCAAGGAACACAGAAAAGAAAAAAACTTCAAAGAAACCGGTACTAAACAACAGCCAAAATACAAAATTCATACATTTTTCTAGCTGTTAAAGAGAATAACGTTTTATCCCTTGATGTTCTGATGTGTTTTAAAGACACAGGCTCCAGCTCCCAGGAGTAGGATTTCACCAGCTGCTGTAGCACATCAGCCATCAGACAGTGATGAAGATGAACTTCCATGGTGCTGCATCTGTAACCAAGACGCCACGCTTCGCTGTCACACCTGTGATGGAGACCTTTACTGCAACCGCTGCTTCAGGTAGTCCAACATACGCTCATTATAATAAGCACTACAAGAATTCTAGTTTCCCCACTCAGCTTTGCATGGGAATCTTAAGTCTGATGCCAAAGAAAAAGATGCCTGTGATTTGGAATGTATACCATGACCCAGATACATTGTGGGCAGGCTGCTGCCATACTGTTCAGCAGCATGAATATAAAGTATTTAGTGTGATGAATTATCAATCCACACTCCATTATCTCCCCAGGGAAGGCCATGATAAATATGACAGGATGGAGCATCGCACCACCAACTACACTGCACCAAAGAAGAAGAGGAAGACATGATAGTTAGATTGTGCTGTAGGTGTTTGCCTTATCAGGCTCATGTCAGTCATCACCCTTAGACTTGTGCTTTAGCCTTAAGTGACCTCTTATTGTCTAAAAAACTGTGTCTCAGAGTTTTAAACACCACCTATTATCTAAAGCAATCCAGAACTCCTCATTTAACCTCTAACTTATCGTATCCAATCTGTCCAAAGTGGATATAAATATGTGTCTATGTAGACCTCAGGAGGAGCAGCATCTGCTTTCTATAATTGCAAACACTGATTTAGATGAACAGAATAATCAATTAAACAATAGGTAAGCAAAGCATAGACATAGACTTTAATGCAAATGCAATACAGTGTATATATAATGAGTGGAACATAGCTTTTATTTTTTCTGTAATGTATGAAAATAGAGGTAAGTGAATCTTGCAGAGGCTGCTAGACAGGTTGTATTTTAGCAAAACTGTACCGCTACACACAGAAAAGTTTTAAGCTGTCCAATTCAGTAAGAAGCTTGAAGTTTTTTCTTCTGTCACCTGTCCTACTTCCTAAAGGCAACAAAGGCTCATCTTAGACTCACATTGCACTTGTCACCATTGGATTGTTTTTTTTTTTTTTTTTGAATTGACAACACATACAGAAAGCAGACACATCATGAGCTCATCTGCAGTGATGCACAGTCCCAGACTACTGTCAGCTCTGGACCGAAGAAGCATAGAGGAGTCAGTATAAAAGGATTAGTGAGGGCTTTGTTTCTTTTGGCAGGCACTGCAGTCACTCTTGTAATCTATGTTTGGCTGCGAATCTGACATGAGCATTGCCTTTCTTGTCCTTGTGTGTAATTTAATTATAAAGGAAGAAAAAGTGTAGGGCGCTACATCAAGTCTTTTAAGAATGCAGCTTATTTTTTAGTTGTATTTTCAACACTAAAGCCTTTCTTTTTTTTAAAGTTATCATTACTTGACAAAAATGTCTCAGTCTGACAGGCCTTGTTAGAAGTGTAGTGTTACAGTATGGATGGCCTCTGTGTTAGAGAATCAGGAGTGGAAGTGGGGCGAACCAAGCAAATTACTATAATGGAGCCCTCAGCCAAAAGACCCTCTGTGTATGACAGAGAGATGGCCAGAGTGCAGTTTCATCAGTGTGCATTACTGTCTAGCTAACTGAGGAGAAACCATAATTACACTCTCCTCCGGGGGCTTGCTCCATTAACGGTTGTATGGAGGCAGTTGCTGTGTTTGCCTTTTCTGGCCATGTCATACACGCACAACAGACAGGAAATGGATGAGGATAATGGATGCATACTTAATGGACTTTTCTGCTGCTGATTTCACTGTGTTTACTCCTAGACTTGACATGTCAACGTCTCCTTTGTTTCCATCACTCTGTTGAAAAATTCATGGTAGAAGAAAATAGAACCATGTATTCTGGGAATGATATGCTGACAGCTGTGCTACAGTAAAGTCTGTAGACTGTAGGATGTTATCAGACTTTAAAAACAAATGTTTTAGAGCAGTAATAAAGGTCAGTTGTGGTAACAGCATATCTTAGTTGGTACTATAAACTGCTGGGTATTATGGACATTACACTCAATATTTATTTGTATTTGTGGAATTAATCATTTCTGATGATATCTGTTGGTCAGTCACTTGGTTGACTTTGCTTGTGAAATCACATTTAACCCTTTTCGATAATTCATCAACAGCCTTGTCTTGAAAATGTTCAATTTTATTTTGACATACAACACTGTTATATCAGAACAAAAATATTTATGTACATAAATAGGCAACTGAAAATGTACAGTCTTACACAAAAAAAAAAAAAAACAGTCCGTCTGAGTAATAGTCAATACAGATTTATCTCATGTGCAGTATTGGTATGTTTATGGGAAACAAAATGTTATAGCAGTCCATAAATTAAAGCGAAATAATAATAATAAAAAAAATTCCATTCAAAACCCAACTGCTCTGGTGTTAGACTGATACTGACCCAGGAAGAGAGTCCCACTGACATGTGAACCGCACATACCGGCATCCTAACAGTTAACTGGTGGGAAGATAAGAGGCTCCACATTGTCTCAATTCTTTATTTGACCTATAATTATTTCTTCAAGGGACCTGACATTTTGCGTAGACCCTTTATCCTGTAGAGCAGCCCGTTGATAAAATCCTGTGGGGAAGATGAAGAAAATAGATTTTCTTTTTTTAACAGTAACAGTAAACAATCTTTTTTTTCTGTTGAATATTGAAGTCTTTTTTATGCTAGCGTGTAATTATTTATAAGTAATGGGATTTTTTAATTTTTTTATTGTCTCACCTCTTTTGGCTTCCCACATTCCTGCAACAGCTCCTAACAAAGGAAACAAACAGAAACAGGCTCATTTACAACACTGGACATTGCTTTTTCACTGCAAACATTGCAACATCAGATTCCAGCAAGGGTCAAGTGCTTGTTAAATTATTACCCCACATAGCAAACAGTCAGGTATGTACCCAGGTGTTAAAATGTATAACTTCTCTGGCTGGACTCCTGGGCCTCAGGTGGTCCCTTGTTTGCAGACTTGCAGTTTTGGAGACTAGTTCCATTATATAAAAAATGAGTAGAAGTTGAATTGTACAATCTTACGTGCAGTCGGGTTCTCTGCCCTTCATCCGACAGCTCCAGGAGCTCGTCTATGTCAATCTCTAACTCTGGAATCTCTTCCTCCTGTAAGAGCAGAGAGAAATAAGAGTTAGAGAAAATATTCCTTTTTTACTATATTGTTCACGGTTGTGCTTCTGCATAGCTCTTGCAAACGCTGTATAATGTGGGCTTCTTGCCGTCCTTCCACTCACAGTGGTAAGACTGTCCACACCAGTGAGCAGAGTCATTCAGAAGGAAAAGACAGAGCGAAAGATGTGATCCAGAATGTGATGCAACATGGCAAGGATTTAACTGCAATACAGTGGTATATAAACTGTTGGATTGTAAAGTTTTAAAGTGACAAGTCTACATACTTTTATCACCTGTGTTAGCAGTGTTGGCTATGTTGTAGAAGTAAGGATAAGTACTGTTTTCCTTCCTGAGTAATTACTCATAACAATGATGTGATTGATGATGTGCTGTGCATGAGAGAAGCTAAAGAGCACTGAGGCATGAAGGCAAAAGGGCTCCAGGAGGCCATACTTGCCACATGGCACCATCAGATTTCATGGATGGTTTACCCTGCTGGCATTTAGCTCAGATATTACTGAGGGCGTATTTCCACTTTACATTTTTTCTAAAGAATATATTAATCTCGGATTGGTTGTGCCACGTTGGAAATTAAGATATAAACCCACGAGCAGCATTCACTTTAATATAGTGAACTGTGTAATATAGAGTACCGTGTGTTTTCCAGAAGATTATGTAACCTCGAGTTGAGATTGTAAAAAAAAAAAACAAAAAACAAAGGAGGGCACAGAGTTTCAAGTTATAAAAAGCAAATATTGCAAAGTAATCAGTTCATATCGCAAGCTCTTATCCGCACCTTTCAACTACATTTTCAGAGGGAATGAGGAGTGCTCACTGGAGGGATACTGAACGCTTAGATATCTGGAGTCAGCAGGTATAGACTCATATTTGACAAGTGGGGCCTCTTTTTAAGAGGAATATTTTCCGGTTGGGGAGTTTTCATGGCTGGTGAGGATGGGGCTCGCACAGCTTTCTGGATGAGGAGAGAGCTAATCAATGTGGAAGTGCTGAGTGGCGGAATAGATGGGCCCACCTTCAGAGTCCCCTGTGCCCTCTCTAACTGATACATGCTGCCAGTTTGGACCCCATGTGATTGTGCTGATGTCTGCAGGATGCATGCAGGGCTGAACTTGTTTTATTTATTTATTTACTTATTTATTTGGTCATGCTGTACATTTCTTTGTTGTGTGGGCTTTGCCTTACTAGCTCTAATGTGTTAGGTTGTGAATGGTTCTTGACTGACCAGGCACTTCTAGGAGTTTTGTGTTCATGATCTAGTGCAGAATCTTTTAAATCTATCTTTCTTTCTGAACATGCAGCTTTATCTTGCCATTTATAGTTCTCTGCAAAAATAGGTCATGAATTCAAGTGGTTATTTTTAAAACTTTACGGTCAGTTTTGTTTAGTGGGTGTAGTCTCTTTCCCTTCTTGGCACTCCATTGTAAATATTTATAACTCATGTAAATGTAAATAACTGCTCACATTTGCTGTGATAGGATTGTTGTGATGTTCCCTTAGCTTTGGCTGATGTTAAGAGTTATGATTATTTATTTATCCTGCGTTAATTGTACAGCACTCTATGTCCAGTAAGTAAAGACTAAATGTGACAATGAAACCTACCACTACATGAACTGTGAGAATAAAATAACTGGATAGACTCCTTAATTTGTACTGCTCTTAAACCTTCTCCGCCTGCCCTGTGACTGCAGGACCACGCAGAGCACCACTGAATATCAATGAGAGACATTTTCACTGAGCTGAGGCGAACATGTGCATTCATCATGAAGAAATGCGATACGACCCTTCAAGTGACTTTTCAGTATTTCATATTGAACGCGGTCACAGTTTTCAGCTTGTTGAGAGTTACCTTCATTGTCAGAGGAAAACAGCATTTTAATGAGGCCTCTGGGCAGAAATGTCTCAGCAGCACTTTTTGAAGTTAAAAGCAACAGACTGAAGCTAAAATGAACGTTGGCACTAATATTGCAATTCATGAATATCAAAGCGGTTCTCAGAGGATTTCGGGTTCAGACAGCAGCACAGATGCAGTCTAAATAAGAAGCTGAATTTTGTCGAGATGAGATGACCTCCACTGGAATTTATAATTCAGAATCAGAAATGTTTCATCATCGTCGTGAGGTGACCTGATTTTTTCTGTCAGGACTTCTGACTTAAAAAAAAAAAAAAAAAAAAAATGTTTATTCCTTTTTTTTCTTAGTATTTAGTTTGATTTGATTATGTTTTCAGACAAACACTTACTTTGTTTAGGGTAGTGCTATAAAAATAAAGTTAACTGCCCTAAGGACGATGGAACTGATCGGTCAGTCAGCCCATGCAATGCTTGTTGTGAAATTGAGTATTGATACTCATGCCCCCCAGTGAATGATTTCTAATGATTTTGGTGACCCCCGACCCGTCGTCTAGGGCAACCCTCAGGCCAAAATTTTCCCTTGACCTTTGCAAAGCATATTGAAAGCCAGACTTTCCTTGAAATTAAAGGTGGATATTCGTGGAGCCTAAGGACGTGTCCCCCGTCAAGGACAAAGTTTCCACTTGTACAAAAGTCTATTGGGCAGGTTACCAAGATATTTATTCGGTGCATTTAAGCTACTCAGAAGATGAACCAAACTGATTGTGGAGTTCCACTGACCTTTTCTCTATCACCGCTGTCACGCCAAAATTAACATTTGGCATATTTTAAATTATGATGTACAGATCTACCCATTTGGGTCATAACATGACTTTTCCTCTTGGGCAACTCTACAGTGAACAACACCAAAGCTCTGCACCAAACCATCAGCTCTGTGACCCACTCCTTGTGTTTGCTATTATAATGTAAGGGAAACCATGCCCAGGAAGTCTAGCTGTTTCAACAAGATGCCAGTTCTGTGTTGAACTTATCAGACCCTTCCTTTTTCCTGTCAGAGGCACAAGCTGCCCACAGATCAAAATATATATCAGCGTTACCCTGTGAGTCGTGGCAAAGTTTAAAGAGGCTAAAAAAATGATCATTACATAATAATAAATGATAATTAAAACGTATGAAATAATGCAATGGTTGCTCTGTGCTTGCAATGGGTCCAAAACAAATTTATGGTGTAAATTAATTTTTAAGGATTTTAATAAAACAGACCCCAAAAAAAAAAAAAAACCTAATAGATGAGTGACAGACAGGGAAAACACTGATTTGGGCTCTGGGTTACCCTAAATGTGGGATCTTCAAGTATATTGAGAACTGTTTTTCCACCTTTTTTAAAAAAAAATTAAGAAAAATTGACCATTTCTCAAAAGGTGTGAAGTTTGCAAAGAGGGCGGTGATTCCAGACCGAGGCAGCACTTGTATGAATTAGAGATGCGGCTAAATAATTCAGGTGGTGACACAGGGGACTGACGGTAAATGCTTCCACGCGGAAGAGTCAGAGAACCAACAGAGTATACTTCCCCTGAGCCTATGCAAAATTCATCACACTGGCCTGTGCACGTGGACAAGTCATGCCTAACTCCACACAAGTGACTAATGCAAATATCAAGTCTATCCCAACTGGAAAGCTAAGACCTCGTTTTCAATATGGCAAGGATGTGGATTATCTTTCATCACCTTATCAATTGTACCGAGACCCCATCCTTCAGTGAGCTGGGGGAACGTGCACATTCACTATCTGCATTGTACATGTGCTGCACATTAATACTTATGTTATATTATGTTAGAAGCAGAACATGAAAGGCTGCAAACGGGAAATAATTGTATGTTTCTGGGACGAGATCAAAAGAGTAGACGGGGAAAGACTTCTAATCTGTTTTTGTTATCCGCATGTCCTGGTTTCCACTAATGTGATTTATTCCACCCTCTGCCTCACAAGCATATTACCATATATTACCACAGGGAAGAAGGCTTGGGGTGTAAATGGAATAAAGCTCATAAAATAAGCATTGTGATCAGTTAAAACTCTTGCACAACATTAGAAATCCCTAGCACTCAGCTGAGACAAAGTGTTTTGAATTAAACAAGCCTGACTGTCTACTGGTCCAGATACAGATTTAAAAAGAAGAAGATAACTGGAGATACTAGTTATCTATCACTACATTTGCTCCAGAGATCTCCCATGTCAGCTAGTCAGTCAGATGGATATGCATGCATCTTCATGTTCTGCGGCATCAGTATACTGATGTATTCAAAGGGCTCCTTGGGAGTGAAAGTGGATGCCAGACAGAGAGGTGGCTGCAGGGCATCTACAGCCAGGCCCTGTCTCTGTGTGGTTCGAGAATTAAATGAGAAACACTTTGTCTCTGCCTTTCGGAGGCGGTGTTGTTGTCATCTGATCTGCGTCGTCATTAGGAAGCCCGTGCTCCTTAACAGGCGCCCCTTATTCCACTGTGTGCCATGCCGCCTCATGTGGGCGACGAGACATCTGTTGCCATGGTTTCCCCTCAGAGAATGCCAAGTGAATCAATATGGAGCCTTTGACATAACTGGATTGTATCCCAACACACAGGAGTGGAGTTGTGGAGGTTGTGTTGCTGTGCATGAGCTGACTCATGTCTCGCTGTACTCCCTCGCACACAACCATCTATGCAATGAGGCCATTAATTAAGCGCACTATAGAAATAATGAGTGCACATTTCCATGCCAAAGCTCTTATTTTTATAAATGCACTTTAATAATATAAAGTTTTCTGCATGTTTATTCAAACTACATGCTTCTCTAAGGTCAAATTGTGTGACACAGTATCTAAGTATGTAGTTTCAGTCATGCATAGTAATTGAGTGACAAGAATGTGTCTGCAGAGAGACAGGATACATACCGACAATAAAACAATGACAAAATGTCCTGGATGCCACCATAACAGCTGAACATAAAAACTGCAGCACATAAAGTGCATTTAAACCTAAAAATGTCTTTCAGTTTTATTACTTACTTACCTTATCTGCCACTTTATTACTTCATCACACAGTTACAGGGATATTGTGCTTGTGCTCTCACTTTTTTCCCTCCTCAATATTACTCTCTCTCCTGGTTTTACTGATCCTAGAATCCTAGCTATTCAACTTCACACTGTGTAAATCCATCATCTGAATGCCTAAATGTGGCCCTATGTTTAAAGCCGTGCAGGTGTTGCGTTGTCAGGCTTGCAACATGCTTTCAAATAATCATATCTTGGCAAAATGATCTTATTAGTATGGTGGAATACCACACAGCTGATACTGCAGTCAGGTTGAAGACACATGACGGCTTGTGTGCCAAAAACTGCAGCCATTAAGCACAGCTACTTGCCTCCCACCCACTCCTCTATTAGGTCGCTGTAATCTCTCATGCATGATGTATTGCCCACCAAAGGCGCTTATGAGCAGTTCCAGTGCCTCTCTTGCACCCTTCCTTCACCTCCTCAGGCACCCAACACAGTGTACGTCTGAGTGTGTGGCTGTGTGAGCCAGCCCTTCCCTACCTCACAGTCAAACAGCAGGTGCAGCTGTCCGTCGATCCACTCCTCGATATCCAGCCTCCTCTGCAGGTCCTTGCGGTTGTATTTGACTGTCAGCTTGCCCAACTTGCGGTGTGCAGGCTCTTCTGTTTTGTTCGTTGCCTGGAACATCACCCTGGACTGGGTGCTTGGCTCTGACGCCATGGCTGCCACGGCCTCAGGAGAACCGTGGAAACACACTGAGCTGTATCTCACTCACACACACACACACACACACACACACACGCACGCACACACACACACACACCTTCAGGCTCTGAAACGTTTGTCTTGTACACCGGCTCCCCTACTCTGTCTCTAGTGAACTGCTGTTCCCATGCGTGTCTCCTCTTATCTTGCCGAGTGTTTCGTATTCTCCCTCTCTATAATGCTGGCTCTGGTTCTCTGCCTGTCCTCGTCCTCGCTCTCTCCCTCTCTCTCTCTCTCCAAAGCTCACTGTCTTGCTCTCCTTCCCTCCTCCTCTTGAAACACCCACTGGCTGCACTATCAGGAGGATGGTAATGAGATATGCCTTTGTGTGTGTATGTGTACAAGTTTGTGCATGCATTTGTGTGTGCGTGCGTGCGTGTGTGTGTGTGTGTGTGAGGGTGTGTGCTCTCCTATTCATGCACATGCACCTTTTAGGGTGTGTGTTTGCTTTTTGCTCTCTTCCTCTGTGTTATAGGAGGTGGGAGAGCGTAGGTCAATTACAGCAATAAAAAGTGGAAAAAGGGTGCAAGGGCAACCACTGCAATCAAGTTAGGATTATTACTCTGGCAGAAAATATGCCAACATGTCCTTCTGATATCAAAACATATATAAATACATGTGTATTTTTCTTCTTATATCTCCACTCATGTGGTCTGAAGACATAGCTATCATCTGTATACCAACACAGCAGCCATATTTTTATATTATTATTTACTCAGTAAGAGTATCTCAAGTATTTATCTGCTCAAAGTCAAAAGGGTTTGACATGCTATGGGCTCTTGTGTTCACAAACACGTCCAACAATAGCTGGGTCCCCCTGACAGGTGAGCCAGGGTTCCTCTAGTGTGATAGCTGCCCCGTCCTTTATAACAGGCATTATCAGGTGTACGTTTAATAAGCCTTGAAGTCAAATTGGCATCCTCAGTTACGCACCCATACATAATGGATGAATAGGAGAGCACTGTTTATGGCTGTTTAGAAGTCAAATGTCAAATAAAAGTCTTGAAAACCATCAATGTTTGCAAAGTCAAACATCAACAGCAGCACATAACCCAAGGTCAGAAAATTCATAGTTGTACCTCCCAGAGCCAAATTATTACAGGTGAGAAAACAGAGACAACAGGCTGCAGATTTTCCACAGATCCTATTACGATATGAATAATGGGGTTCAGTTTTTTGTTTTGGCAGGGACTATCAATCAGCCATAGCCGCGCGTGTTCACCCACTGATGCACCGTCTGTTACAAACACTGAATTATTGAGTGCCTCCAGCAGCTCACCTTTCCAGGCAAACAAATTCATTCATCTCGTCTTATGCTACTTGGTTCTGCACCGTCGGCTTGTCTAAAACAGGCACGTTGGACAGGAGACCTGCGTTGGGCCTTCTCACCTCGGACCTGGCTGGGTGACTCATCCTAGGAGAAAGAGAAGGAAAACAGGGGCAGAAAAAGTTTGTGGATGTAACCTTAATTTTTTTTTCTTCCAAAAACTAATTACCCCCCTGGCTGAATCTGTCTGGGATTATGATTAAAGCCAAAATAATAAACCAAATAATAATCTAAGTGACCACTTCCTGCTCCAGCTGATAGGTACACGCTGGTTTCATGACTCATCACATACTGTAATTTGATGACTCAATGCGTGAATCATCTCAGTATCACTGTTATTACACAAAGAAGATTGCGGGTCAAGCAAATTTAAATGATAATATGTGTTCATGATTACACTGTATGTGACAAAGTATGAGCCAAAACGCATGTTTTACAATTTTTGGTGAAAAACGAATACCCCCCCCAGCTTCGTCTTCAGCTGTTGGTGGCGTCATACTGCCACCTTCTGGATTAAAGCTGGTACATCTGAAAGATGAAGTCCAGAAAAAGATAAACTCCGGTCATTCCAGTTGGTGTTCGATCTGCTGACACTGTCTCAGCTTTTTACACTTGTCTTGTTTTGTTTGTGTAATGATTTCTTTGTTTGTCGTTTTACCTTATTATCATAGTTTTTCACTTGTTATTGCGTAGAAAAACACCTGCACTAGAAAACGTCGATGCTCTTTCCTTAAAAAAAGTCCTATAGCCTATAAATAAAATAAAAAAAAAAAAGTTAATGCAAAAAGGTAAAATATGTCTTTCTTTCTATATCAGGAATACCAAAGTAAATAATCCCTTTGATTTACACATTATTTTGCCTTTAGTAATCAACATAATTCCATTATATTTAGCAATCTTATTGGACACAGTGTTTTTCCCTGTCTCACCTGTAAAACATTTCTATTGCTGTCTAGTAGCTGTACAGTTGTTTTTGTACTCTTGTTGGCAGGATTACTTTTGTCTGGGGGAAATCCGTAATGACTAAATCAAAATAAATTAGAAACGTTGCTCAATGTAGAAGCTGGTGGATTAACTTCAGTCCTCTCCCTAAAAAGGTAAAGGTTGTCTTAGGTTAAGGGGCACACAAATGGGGAACTTTCACCAAAGTTTCATAAGGTGAACCACTTCTAATATGGGCAAAATAATAATAAAAAACAATGTTATCTGATAAATAAAAGTAACTAAAACTTTATGTAGTACTTTTCAAAACCAGGTTTCTTAATTGTTTCATAGTTACAAAGAAATTTGTTAGAAAGTTAGAAAGAAATGTAAATTTATACCACAGAAAAAAGACTACACGGTGAAGAATAATTAAACAGAAGACTATAATGTGTGTGAGAGCGCGCGCGCGTGCACACGCACACAAAGCTCTGTCCCTGTTTTGTTTGCGGCCTCAACAGCCACAAGGGAGTGGCATCTCAGGGGTGGAATTTCACTTCCTGTTTCTCTCAGGTGACTCACCTGTGTAATGTCGTCGATCGCTCAGGTTTTTGTCGACATCAAAGAAGTTACTTCTCTGAGGGTTTCAGTTGCAGGTTGAAGGATCAGATCGGTCTGGAGAGACTCTGTGGAAGTTTTCAACCATCTCTCTCGGTGCATATCAGGAAGTCAGGGGTCGGTTTGACGTCATTATACTGAAGGTTGATTGTCTAGGAGAAGCAGCGTCTTGTTTTACCATTTTGCGGCCTAAACTCTCCACGAAGAGGTTGAATTTTTAATATAATAAGTGGTTTTATTTTTAACTGGCTTCACTGTCGTTACAAGTGATCTTTGGAAATTATTTGAGTGGAAATCTTTACTGGACTTTTAAAAATGAATTCACCCCTTAAAGGACAATGGGGAGCGTTTGCGCTCCTGCTCTTTACGTTGTCTCTCGACTCCGCTGGGGGCCAGGAGACTGGTGAGGAGTGTTTGGCCAAATTCAAGAGCGGTCGGGAGGATTTTGTTCTCGATGCCGACGAATCGGTGAAAGCCGGAGCAACGTTCATTTCGTCGCCCAAGATGGATCGATACAAGGACTGCGTTGTGGAATGCTGCAAAGAGCCCAGGTGCAATGTCGCCTTAATGGAGAGAGGAGCCGAGGAGGGCATGGTCAAGTCCTGCTTTCTCTTTGATTGTCTGTACAAGAAGAAATACGCCTGCCGCTTTGTGAGAAAGAAAGGATACATCAATTATATCCTGGACTCTGTTTATGAAAGTTATCTTGAAGTGGATGTCCCCCCAAGTAAGACTAACAGAAGCTTCACAAATTCAAATATTCACATGAATTATTTTTCCATATAGATGCATATCTCAGTTTGTTCTGACTCATTGTGTGTGTGATCATTAATTATTCAGTTGTAAACAAACATGTGTTGTAGATGAAGATTTGATAGTGTATATGTTTTAGTCTCCATTTTTCATTTGTGCCATCATCTACAGAGGGAATTAACAGTTTAAGTTTTCCTTTAGGGGGGGGGCTTTGTTAACCAGGGGACTGTCTGGGTTTACCACTTAATGGAAACTTTTTGTCTCTGTCCCTCAGTAACAATGAAAACCCTAGTCTTTCACTGGTCTGTGTGAGAGCAGTCGGTTATCAGGCCACAGATTTAGGGCAGGAACCGTCAGTTCAGCATGTTCACACACGTCAGGCTATTATCATGGCCCCTGGTGCAGGTTCAGGTTTCAGTTTCTACCTCTGCCTCTTCATGTGTTGCAACTTTTTGTAACTGGAAATGCCAATCATGTTCTAGTTAATGTCTTATTAGTAATATACATTAATCCCATGGTGTCACTGCAGACGAATCGGACCGTCCACCAGTCGCCAACGGCGGCCAGGACCGGGTGGTCCAGCCTCAGGACAGTGTGACACTGAACGGCATAGAGAGCAAAGATGACCAAGGGATTGCGTCCTTCCAGTGGCAAATGCTCACTGGATATCCTTATGCTGTCATTGAAGTGAGTGAAGGGAAGAGGCCGTAATGCAAAACCCAGCTTTGCTACAAATATTTCTGAGTGTCCAGTTTGGGGAAATTTAGAAACTAAACTATTAATAATTCTGTGTATGTGTGTCTGACCTTCCTTTTAAGTGTCTATTATAATGTTATTTATACATGGCTGTCATTAAATTGAAAAACTACTGCCACTGTTACACACACACACACACACACACACAACACTGTCTTTTTTATGCCTTGCAGAAAACCTCCTTCGACGACCAGATTATCGTGTCCAATCTGACATCTGGGGTGTACAAATTCCAGCTGACCGTCACTGACACCATCGGCCAATCAGACTCAACCAAGGTCACCGTCCTGGTCCTTACTCCAGAGCAGTCTGAGCGTGAGTATCGAGGCTGAGCAAACATCTGGCTGAAACACAATATGAATATATTCATTTATGTAGGACAACCATTTTCCTCTGTTTTTTCTTTGAATGCATAAAAACTTTCACTCTGTTGGTCAGAACTTAAAGTAAGATGGATATGACGCACTTCAAATCTTGTAAATTAAATCTTATGTCGGAGCTGGTTGTTGTAGATTTGTTAGTTTCTCTGCAAATATAGACTCAAGGGGGAACATGGTCGAGTTTCAGTAGTAAACATGAGTCATTTTCCACTGTATTTGTTGACATTTCTTTTGGCTTATTCAGAGTCACCCACCTTGTGTTTACTGTTGGGCAATTGGTAAGACAGGATCATTCCCTGCAGCCCTTAAATTTCTTAAAAACTGTCTGAAAACCTTTAATCCTGCCCTTTTTAATGGCAAAATATGAATTTCTGAACGAGACTAGTGTCTTACTTCTAGTCTTCCTTTTTTAATCTACCTTTTAAAGGATTTGTTTTTTCTGAGGAACACGACTCTTAAGTTTTCCTGGCATTGTTTTGTGTTTGTCACAAGCATGAGCGATTCCATGTTAGCTGTGATCAAACCTGTCATGGCAAGCTTGCCCAATTCCTGTGGACTGAATGATGAAACATCATGAATAGAGAGATAAAAGCTCATGATCTGAAAAGATTAGACCAGATTCAACTTGGAACTAGATATGTCTTTTGTCATGGGAAAAAAAACAAAGAAACGGTTTGTTAAATGTTATCACTGCCATGTGACATCAAGTACGCAGGTCACTTCCCTTGACCGCCCAACATAGAAAACGACAGCGAAGGTGTCTCGCCCACTGCCCCTGTTTTATGTTTGGAGTCTCAGCGGGGATCAGAAGTGAGTGGAGCGGTTGGTGTAGTTTTTACTGCTCCCACGCCTGCCATCCCACTCTCTCCACCCCCGACTCCACGAAACCTGTCGGTCTGGTTTCAGCCTGGGTTACACAAACAAGAAAACTCCAGTCACCATCCTGATTCTTTTCAGTACTGATTAAAAGTGATTATTGTCTGAATGTTTTATCCTTTTAGAAGGTTCTCTCTTTCTCTCAGTTTTGTATTTGCTGGTTGCTGATTGACTGTAGACTGAAGGACAAGGGGAGACTTTTAAGCTTTCAGTGGTTCAGTTACCCATTAACAGCTTGTGTCCTTAATGTTGTTAGGAATGTACTTCAGTTGAATATGCATTGGCATGGCAGTGACACTACACGACAATGCTGCCACATTTATTCCACAATAATGAATGGTTTCAATAACAGAGCAACTCATTCATGAATGACAATTGGTGATAAAGCCCGTGAGGACTTGGTAATGAAAGTGTAACTTATAGTATAATTTTGCAGTCGGGGCACTTCTTTGTAATGTCTTGAAATATATACACTGTCTGCATTCCTTCTCTAACCTCATTGTCTGTCAAAGTACACACCGCTTCTGTTTTTTTCTCAGTTGCATTTCTACATACAGGACAACCACATATTTAATTATGTCTGTCTTACCATGAGACAGACTCAAAGAATAGGAAGTTAAGACAAAAAGGGTATCTCAGCAAATCTGATATATAACAGATATGAGACACCAACATTACTGGTTAGTCAAACTTGGTTACGGACAAGTGGCACATTGTTAAGAGTCTTTTGACGTTATCTGACATTAAATCAGTGTTTTAGAGAACTTCTGAGGAAAATTAGTGTGCTGACAACCTTGATCACATTTTTATTCATCTATTTTTTAAAGTTGTATTTTTGGGCATTTTTGCCTTTATTTTGACAGTATAGTGAGAGATAGACAGGAAATGCAGAAAGGGAGAGAGGGGTTTGACATGCAGCAAAGGGCTGTGGGCCAGACTCGAACGTACAGCTACTGTAGGACTAAGCCCGTGTGGTACGTGCTCTACCAAGTGAACCACCGAGAAATAGCCCGTAACTAGAGTTTTCTATCAGTGAGTCTTAGTGAGAGTGTTGGTTCTCATTTCTCTGGACTGAATTTGTTGCTACAGTAACTAGACCATGCTCATGACAGCTTTCACAAAACGCAGACAAGTTCTAAATGCTTTTTGCAGATTTTTGGGACGTATAAGCGGCTATTATTAATTTTGAGTCAAACCTAATCTTTTATTCTGTGTCCTACCAGACCACTGTATGGCTCCGAAGAAGGTTGGGCCATGCCGCGGTTCTTTCCCTCGATGGCATTACAACGCCGCCTCAGAGAAATGTGAGGAGTTCATGTTTGGAGGCTGCAGGGAGAATCTCAACAACTACTTGTCCAAGGATGAGTGCAGCAAAGCCTGCTATGGCTCAGGTATCTGTGCTCTGATCATACGCATGTAAAGTTTATGTATTTTTAGCATTTTTTTTCCAACTTTTGTTTGTTGCCAAAGGATGCAATCATATGGGCGTTGTCTATGTGTTGCTTTCAGCACATTTATCTCGGTGGGGCAGCAGCGTGCGTTGCTGTCTTCCACAGTGTCTTTTTGTAATCCAAATCCTGCTTGTGTTGGCTTTGATATCGTTTGCGGTTATCAAGCACCTCTATGCAGAGTGCTTTCTTGCTGAGGGTGGGATGAGAAGATCGATACCACTCTCATGGCTGCAAAGTAAATGTAATGCTACAGCCAGGACAGTTAGCTTAGCATAAAGACAGGAAACATGTGGGGGGGGCAAGCCTGGGTGTGTCTAAAGCCAATAAATATCCCTGCCAGCACCTTCACAACTCACTAATTAACACTTTACATTGCCTTTGTTTCATCTATACAGACACCGCAGTGTAAAAACGATCCATTTTGGTTTTATTGGGGGGTTTTATGGGACAGTGACCTTAGACTGTCAGCTAGTTGCCTGATAAACATGTCATTTTTAAGAAGTGAATGAATTTTAATCTCATTTGTTGTTTTTTCTTTCAGAGAAAAGTGCTATAGCTGGTAGAGGTTTGCCAGTTCCCTCGTCTCAAGGTAGGTGACATTTGTCTGAATCGCAACATCTTTCAGTATAAAGTGAATATATGGCGCTAGTGTTATCAAACAGTTGCTTATTTACAAATCCAGCAGTTACTGCTGCTACTTGGTAAATTTAACTCCCTTATGCACCATCTTTTAGCTCTGTTTTTGGTCTATACCCACTCCTCTAGCTTCTAAATGTTCCATTATATACCAACTAGTTAGTGAAGATAATTTGGTGCTGAGCATGTAGTGTACAGGTGGTTTTTTGTTTTTTTTAGAGCTTTTTCCTTGAAAACAGCTGCAGCTGAAAACAGCACTATGAGAGCAGTGAGAGTGAACCAGAACAGTAAAGTTGCTATAAGCCTCCATAAAATCAAGTGGAGCTGCAGATTTGTTTGATAATTAGCTGTATATTCATCACTATGAGCAACTCCTATCACATTGTTATTATAAAAATATTGATTATAGCCACGTAAAAACAACAGTTGTGATGCAGCACAAGTGACAATTTCCGCTGTGTTTGTGTGTCGCAGGAGAAAAATGTGGTGCTCCTTGTACCACGGAGCAATTCACCTGTGCAAACGGTTGCTGCTTGGATCCGGGCCTGGAGTGTGACTCATCCCCACAGTGCAGCGATAGCTCAGATGAGCAAAATTGCGAGGACTGTAAGTGACTATGCAAACTAGGCCTTATTTTCATACGGACTGACAGAATTGTAAATGTAGAAATGATAACACACTGATAAAATGTTTCCCTCGAAAGACACACTAATTTGAATTATGTCCTGTGTGTCTATAGTGAACAACAAGTTTCGGATTCTGCTGCAGATTCCACTGGATGAGCAAAAAGGTGATTTGAACTTTGTCTTTTTTTTTTCTTTTTTTTTTTTTTAACAGATTTGTTCTTCCCAAGAATTTTAAATAAATGTAAGACACTCTTGCCATCTGTTTGCACCGCTGCTACAATCTCAACTTACCTGCTCATTCACTGTTCATTGCCATTCACAGTGCGCTGCACACAGCCTCCCGACACAGGAAGCTGCAGGGACAGTCTCACTAGGTGGTACTACAACCCCATCGAAAAGGACTGCTTCCGCTTCAACTACGGTAGCTGCCGGGGAAATGAGAACAGATTTGACTTAAAGGAAACCTGTCTGAAAGCTTGCCGTGGGGTAACAGGTAGGTTGTTATTAACATGGAGTCGACATTTTACAGATATTTGCGTCCCGGTGAATTAACATCCTATTTCTACCTCTAAGATATCAATTGTGCAAAATAAAAGAATACCACACATTCCAGACGTCTTCCACACAGACACACTGGCGAGTAGCCTCACATGAAGGCACGTACAGTAGTATATTTTTTTTTTATGGTATTTTGTCTTTTGTTAATGCCAATATTTCTACCTCCAGCCTTAAACTGAATTGATCCTTGATCCTCTGGGCCGCAAGTGTGCACGGAGGTCACTTGGATACGTTTGCATGGCAGTTGCTTTAATGCTTGGATGTAGTGCATTTACATTTGTTTTGATATCAGTTTCAAACCTGGCATTGAATCAAACAGTCAGTTTCCAGAAACAGACGGAAATGGAAACAAAACTTCAAAAGTTTTTAAATGTGTGTGAAGTGGAAAAGTTTTTTTTTTTGCTTCAAGGAAATGATATGGCAAATAAAATATACAAATGCAATGAGAAATTAATACTTTAAAGTCAATGTTTTTATATTAACAAGGGATCAAATGACTACATGTGATTGGGAAGGGGGTGCTTGTAGTGATAAACCCTACAGACTCTGCAGCTTCTCTGAGCTCTGTTGAGCAGTTTAACATCTTTTAAGCTCTGATAAACCCGCTGTATGCTACCTTCCCAGCACCAGACAGACAAAGTTAGCATCTAGCTAGTGAACATTTAGCAGTTAAAGAGCCTGGTATTTAACCTCAGGAGTTGGTGGAGAGCAAAACACAGCTAAAGGGAGAGTGAATATCAGACTTGCATTCATCAGGTAAACTCAACTCCAAATGAATGGTAACACTTCTCCATGACTTCTGGATGTGGAAACATACGGCTGAAGAAGTTCACCATATTGACTTGCAGTGGCCAGGAAAATCAGTTATTGTAGATTAAATTTCCCCTGTTTTTGTATATGTTGTGTACCACATAAGCATTCTCAAACTACATTATGTCTTTTTCTTTATTTTAGAGAAGGACGTATTTGCAAGAAGGGAGGAGTTTGAACGCCAAATGTCTGAAAGCGAGACAGGTATACTACCTTTCATTTCTTACATTCTACACCATTAAAAGTTCAAATTAAACCCACCTAAAAAAATTTAAAAAAAAACTATCTGCTTCGTCAGATAATTGACTTCGAGTGGGTTCCTTTTGTTGAGTAATGTTGTCGAAGCTTCATTTCTCTTGCAGCTCACTTTTCCAGTTCACTGAGTCACTGAAAGCAGCTTTTGAATTAGTGATCTGCTTTCCAACCATAAAGTTTACTTTTTAAAATGTCTCCTCGTTCATTTAACAGGTATTATCGCAATAGCTTCCGTCCTGGGTGTAGCTATTGTCATCCTACTAGGCATCCTGGTGTACTGCCTCTTCAAGGGAAAGAAAAAGACTTCACAACACCACCGTGTGCCCATCAACACCGTCCCGGTCACCTCCATGGAGGACAGAGAGCGTCTGGTCTACAACAGCACCACCAAGCCCATCTGACCCCTCAGCCCTCACCTTCTCATTCACTGAACAAACTCGGATTGATGACAGAGGAGGCAATATGTGTTGACTAAGTTGGATGTGTTTTTTATTTTGTGCATATAGCAGAATGTCTTCAGTGATGAAATGTGATGTTTAATGATTTGAGTTTTAGCTTGTATTTAATGCAGTGACCCTGTTAAGACCCATTGGATCAGGTTAAATGTTCTATCTTTATGTACTTGCTTCGTGATCTGATAGTTGTCAGGGACTAGTTCTTTTTAAAATAAAGTCAGTTTTAATGTCAGACCAGACCCTGAATCGTCAGTAGGTCCATGCTGGTCTGTTACTTCAAAGTAAGAGTGCAACTTCATTTGTGGATCTGTGATATCACATGGTGATCCCTTCAACTTACTGAGGTCCTGCCACGCCAGCTTCTTCACTCTGTCAGATTTGTTTTTACCCTGTTTTATACATCATTGTTACATATTACATTGGATTATACACAGATGCATCATGTTGTACATAATCTTAGAATTTTGAAAAAGAAATATTTTACTTGAGAAGATTATTTTGTCTGATTACTCAGTGTTTTTAGAACAAGCGTAATGTATACATGAAATAATTCTTATTGATACCTTATAAAGCCTTGCTGTTGAATTTGATTTATAAGCTCATCAAATGTTTGTACATATGTCCCGATATAATTCTCTGCAACTTTAGCAGTATCATGATGTTTATACTTAATAAAAATATCAACTCAAGATGTAGTGGGGAATATTTCTTTTGTCTCGCAAAATAGGTCAACTTGTTTTTGGAAATGTTTGGAAGTTTTCAGTTGTTATTGCCTTCAATGTGATTGACTGCTCAACTTTTAACTGTCTGTACTACTTCACTGCTTTTGCTGCTACAAGTACAATAACTATTTCATTCTGATCTTCAGTGAGATTCCTGTGAAATTTCTGCTCATGCAGTTTTTAAGTTTAATTAATTAATGTATTTTTGAATCTCAATATACTTTGTAATTACTAGTTTTTATTATTTAGAGACTTTCATTTTTGTTTGTCCATGCTTCATTGTAGCAGATGTTCATAAGAGTCTTGTTTTGTTTTGTTTTACGGGGTTACTTATCTATACTCTGCATATGCTCTTTTACTTCCTCTTGCTGTGCTGACACAATGGCTCAGTGTGTGATCAGTAAAATTTGTCATACCTTTAAATGGCACATAATAAAGGTAATCTACCTATTATTCATTTATTGTCATTAAAAAAGATAAGAGACCCTCTGGTTGCCATCCAAGCCCTCCTCCAGTTTTGCTAACTATGATGTTACAAATAACCTGTCTGTAATTTCTGTTTTCATGTGATAGATACTTTTCCTGTTTAAGTTCAAGATAGATCAAGATCACATTCGGATATATTTGACACACTTCTGTATGAACTGATATTTCAACCTGTGTTCAACACTTTTGGATTTTGTGTGAGACAGAGATAAGACAAACCAAAGTCTGTGTGCTAAAGTTGATAAACCCATGGTAACACACAGACCAAACAGTCACACAGTTTAGTTCCTTTGCTTTTCTAGCAGCCTTACTCAAAAGCCAATTCCCTTTTTTTTTCTTTCTGTAACATATCACTGGTTGTCATTTTAACTGTAGTGTATACTTCAGGAAGTGTATCCAATTTTTTTCAACCCAACACGTCACACATGTCAACAGCCAGTGTGACATTTATTCATGTCTATGAATAGATTCTATATCTGAGAATTAAAGCCTTATGTGACTGAACAGCACACAAGTGGTTCACACACCTACATTACCTATAAGCTTACTGCATGTCTGTAGGTACTGGCCTTGGTTCATACAAGGTCACCGTGCACTGATCTCTTCAGTCTCTCAGATAATCACAAATCCTCTATCTGGCACAAAAAATTATTAAGGGATATGTGACCCTGTTTAAATGTCATTGTAATAATGCTGCATTAGTTTGACTGTTGTGATTGTATTGCCTGTGGAAGATGTTTAAAAGTCAAAGATTTAAACTTTTAGGAATTAATAAAAAATAATCTGAGCTATAGAGATCCCCCCTTATAATGAACCTCGTGATCTTATATCTCTGATGTGCAGCATGTTCGCCTCAGATACAGTGACCTCCAGTGGCATATAGACAATCTCTACAGGACCCAGCAGCTGGATTTAGACTAAACAACGGGTGCAGTTTTAACTGTGGCCTCTGACAACACAGTAATAGGGTCAGAGAACGCATTAAGTTTACTGACAAAACACGTTAAATCCACAGTGACTATATCCACTGTAGTCTTGTATTGTGTTTTTAGCAACAATTCAACATAATAGGCCTGAGACAGACTTTTATCACTAAATAAGGAGTACTCCTATCCATTCCCCACCTAAAAGTTTTGGTGATACAGACACTGGTATTTATTTATTTATTTATTTCCTTTCTTTTATTTTTTTATTTTTTTATTTTTTTTAATAAAAATTTGAGGTAGGCACCACCTATAAATTGAACAGAGTCATTTTTACCAGCAGGGGGCGACATTGGTTTGTCAGATGTTCAATGTTTGGATGTATTTGGAGCCAGTTCAGATCACTCAAGGCTACATAAACTCCAGCTACTTAATTATAAACTATCTAACATATCAGATCTGATATAACATTCTTCATCTCTATAACATTCTTCCATCATTAGGACGATACATTTGGACATTTTACTGGAGCATACTCAGTCCATTACACCTTTGTGTAACAATTAAAGCTACATTTTCACATTGTGTTCACTGTTTCAGTAAAGTTGTCCAGCATATTGCTTTCTTCACAGCCTCTATGGGGATCTTGAGATAATCTCCAGGAGGAGGGGCAGAGAGGGGGTCGCGCAAAGCAAAAGCGCCCCTCTCTATTTAATCAGCCACACATAAATTAGCACCCATCCGACTGAGTCCCTGGAGCCATCCTTTGTAATCCCCGCCATTCTACTGACCCGACCCTCATAAATGTAATTGGCAGGGTTACAATTTGTTATGTCCTTTCACAAGCCTGTCATTGGTTTCCATACATAGTCCATGAGTAAAGATGCCGGTGTTTTTCCATAAAAACACATGGACTCATGGGCATTCTGTTTACCACTTTTCAAACTATCTCGCACTGAAAGAAATGACCAAGCTATGCATGCCAGATGTTAGGACGTGCAGGGAACACCTCTGACTTTCACCAAACAGACACTAGCCTGTCAAAAGCAGGCGCTATTTTGTTGCATTCAGCTTCTCCTCGTAGAGTAGAAATTCTTCAGACGAGTGACCAAATCAAAGCTAAGCTAAAACAAAAAAAAAGACTTTGATGTTAATTTCTTCCCTTCGATGTAGCCTGGTGTTTTTGTTTTATTGTTGAGAAGTGACAACCGTGAAAGAAACTAACTGTATCCTGTAACAACAACAATCATTCTTTAACCAATAATATTAATGCAGACCTTTTTATATACAGTCTATGATTCAGACAGAAGGTCAACCAATAAGAAAAGGCAATATTTATCTCATATATCCCAGTCTGGATGAGCCAGAACAAGAAGAGATTCACATTTTTCTTGTAGCGTCCACTTGCGTTCACCAATTCGATTCAACCAATTCGAAGTTTCTATATTTCGGACAGATCGTGAACGCAGCATTAGTTCTTAGCAGCTCTTCAAAGATGCAGCAGTGTTTGGTAGGTGGACACAGTACGAGCTGATGACCTGCGCTGGGGTGTGTGTGTCTGAGCGGCTTTTACCATGTGAAAAGAAGAATCTAACGGAGTAACGTGAAGGTTTACACCAAGAAACTACAGAGTAAAGTTTTTACCGAGGACGAGAGTCGTTGGAAGAAGAGAAGTTGGCGAATTCGGTACGTAAGCTACTTTTGACAACTTTACCAAATCTTAGCTAACTTAACGTTAGCTGTGATAACAGTCGAGCTACATGTCAGAGGGAGCTCTCTTCTGTGCTTATCCCGTGGTTATAGATAGTGAGTTTTTTTCTGTTAAGAGAACACTTTTATAAGCCATGTATTTTGCTCATGAACTGAGCAAAACACATGCATGCTAAGAGTCCTGTACAAAGGTAAAAGACTTCAACTCGTTCCTTACTTTGAGCCCCACCACCTAACATTAATAACAGATGTTGCATATAAAATTTAGGTGCATTTTTACTTCATATAATTTCACAACATCCAAGCCGTACGTGCAGGAGAGGGCAGGAGTTTCAGTCTGATAAGTTCTGTTTGCCTTTGACAAAAACACTCTCAGTTGAGTGAACTTTGATCAGCTGCTGGAGTCTTTTTTTTCCTTTTCTTTTTTTTAGGGAATGAGATTTTTCCACTTCAACTTTAATGTCACACTTGACTTGTGAGAAAAACTAATCTCCATGCTGCATCTGAATCATTTGCTATTTCCTCTTTCCCTGCATCCAATTCCCCCCCTGTGGAGCCCATACTTGGCCCCAGAAAACTTAATTGTTTTTTCTAATGAGCACCCCAGTGAGACACAGTGAGGTTTAAAATGCTGGCTGTTCATAGGTCAATGACTTTCCCCACCAGCTGCTGAAGAAGAATAGGACAAAATCAATCAGTTACCAGTGAAAAGTTCTATCTTCTACTCCTTTGACCTCACTTGACCTGTCAGACAATAACCTCTCAACTTCATTTCAAATAAATGTTGCCACAATGCAATGAACAGCGCTCTCTTCCAGGTGGTCCAGACAGGAAACTGCCAAAGTGTGTCTTGGATCTCAGAGTTGGCACTTGATTCTTTCTTCCTGAGTCTTGGTATGCTGCAGCTGTGATAAAATTACCAGGGCTGGAGAATGCGAGTTGTGGTTTCAGCTATGAACACTATATAACTTTCATAACCTTGCGTCTGAGCTTTTCATAAATCACCTTCTTTGTGATTTAGTGGTTAAAGGTATATTTGATGCTGCATCAGATATACCTGGATCTCACCATAAAGTTTCAGCTTTTTTGCAAGTTACAGCTAGGATTACACCGTGAGAGTTAAAGGTCAACTTTAAACCTGACCTGTGTGTTTATTTGAAAGCAAAGAGTGTGTGCCCTAAGTGATTTAGCATTCCATACACCCTAGGGAGGTCAGACTCTCTTTTTTTGTTGTTGTTGTTGTTATGATGATGATGAGCCCTCACAAAGGCATAGGAGAGCTGTTTTTCTGCAGACTTGGGTAGTGCACCTTTAAATGGGCACACTGAAAGTCTATTTCAAGACTGGTGTCTTATTTCCGCTGCAAACAGGCCAGGACACTATGGAGGACGACTTACCCCTTGGTTGTTTTAACGCTCTGATTTTTAGGAACTGGAAGTCTTTACATGTCATTTCCCAAATAAGATGGCACTTGCCAACTTCACTTGCCAGGTATGCATTCTGTGGTTACAGGTCATTGGTGGGGAGGTGAAAATTGCCATTTCTCCTTTTTCAGCACAGCGGGGAATGATTATTTTCCCATTAAGGGCTATTTTGGCCGGGGGTGGACGTGCACCATATGGACAAAACTCCTCAATGTGCCCTGTGGGTGTTCATTGGGGTGGATCACTTATTGCCACAGTTAAGCAGCATGCTCAGAAATGCAGTGGACTAAAATAAGAGGCTCATAGCTGTGTGTCTGTGGGAAGTCACGGGTTAGGGCAGTGCCTTTGTAAAAGCTGTGGATTTGATTGAGATGAAGAGAGACTGTCAGGATTTATTGTTTTCCCCAGTGAATGAAAAGCTGTTAGTCTCTTAAGGCCTGCGTGTCAGGGGACAAACTGCAGGAGTAATGTGGGAAAGAGGGCACTCACAGAAAGGCTGTTTGTCAGGGGGTATTTTCTGTCGGGGTAGACAGGGTAAGAGGGTAAGAGAGAGGTCATGCAAGATAAACATGGCACCAATGCTGAAATAATAAAGACTCTCTGTCTCAGTCAGCCTGTAGGACCCTGGACCTCTGGCTGCCATGCCAGTTTGGTTTTTTATTTGTTCTGAACGTAAACATCCGTCTTGACTGATGGTGTCCTAAAGAAATCCGCCCCACCGTGTCTGACTAGAGACATCCCAGGGGATTTATGTCATATATCCAGATTCCCATGGGCCGTGTTGAGAGAGACGGTGAATGCAACTTGATGCGGTAGGTCTGTGACTTTGACAGAGAAGTGCAGGAGGAAGTCTGTGGATTATTTTTAGCTTCTCCTCCCATCAAATTAGTTCAGCACGGGAAAAATCAATTTGTGTTGTTAATACTTGCACAAAATGCAATTTGATTTCCTTTTTGGATTCAGATGGTGGATCCAAACTGTACGTCATCAGTTGTGTGCATAAATCACGTGGTAGTAGGGTGGATTGGTGTTTCTGTTAAAATAACATATCAGGCTTTAAATATAAATACAGCCCATTAATTGGCAGCAATCTTTGTGTCCAAAAAAGGGTTTTTTGGTCACAACCTTACTGGCTTGTTCCTGTAATGTTTCCTGAGGAGACAGGGAAAGTGACATGTCTACCTGATAGCAGAAGTCTTGTTTTCCTTCCGTTTCCTCTGCAGACATGTTCAGTGGTTTCAGTTCTCTCATAACCTTGACAGGCTGTCAGTGGTGAAAAATGCTCCAGATAGTCATCGCCCCCCGAGAACCCTTTTTCCTTAAGCGTGTCAGGCCTGAGGTCTTGGTTCAAGGTATATGTTTGTCTGTGCGTATTTTTCCAGAGCGAGTCTTTTAACACATTTGTGGTGAAGACTCTGTATAAATTTCCTCCTCACTTGCATGAGTGCTGTATCTCGGCCAGCATCTGTCCCCCTTAATCATCTGTTTGTTGTGTTTTAGAGAAAGGAATTCAGGCATTGACTGCCTGGATCAGTGTAAAGCCTGGCAATTAGAGGAACAAGGAAGTTTATCAGCCCATCTGAAGAAGTGATCCATTGCAGGTCTTTCTTTTAATAACCATCAGATTTGCTCTTGTAGCATCTGTCTTCAATTAAGGGGCAAGTTGCAGATTCCCATGCGGGAGGTTCATGCTGCGGGTAATGCAGTCATCAGCTGTGGGAACCAAATGCTCTCCATTTGTGTGAAAAGGCAGCTAGTTCAAGCACAGGTGGCAAGCTTGGTATGAATGTTAGCCTGTACGTAGTGTTTTCTTTAGGATTTGAAATCTGTCTGTGCCCCCTCCCTAGGAAAACAAGGATTTGGAATTGCCATATGTCAGCAAACAGGAGGGGAAAGGTAATGAGCTACGATTGTTGAATTCTGTCCAGAAGTGTTAAAGATTGTGGGTTTATCTGCTTTACTCTGTCCTGTTAGACATTTAGAAGAATTTTGCTTTCCTCACCCACACCATCTTTCTACATCTACGGCCTTCGATAAGACACTAGAAAAACATTTTTAAGACCCAGACGTCTGCAGGATATCTAGGTTTTAGCGTATTATTCCTGGTCTAGCTTCTCATTGACCAAAAGATGATTAGCATAGTTTTGGTCTGGTTAGCTCAGAGGTCATAGTGGGCAGCTTTATCAGAGGATTTTTCTTAGTTCACTGTTCACTGAGACAAGTTCAAAGCCTGCCCTTCAACATGGATAATCTACAGGTTACACAAACTAACTCATCACTTGACAATCAATTGGCTAAACTTGGTCAAAGGCTGTTTAAGGAGGCTTCATTCTTGATGATGTCACAGTAGCAGTGCTGCATTGACTGAGCATAAATCAGCATTTTACGGCATTTGTTATTCTTTTCGTTCTCAAAGATCCTGTAAGATCCATGCTCAAGGCAGGGCCCAACAGATTAAAAGTATAAACTTTATTTGCAGTTTACAGACAGAGAATATTTTACATGAATTAAAGGAGCTATCTGTAAGTTTTGCTGTGACAACGTAGCCAACGTTAGCATTAACAGCTGTTATTACCAGTCTGGAACAAACACTGCGAGTGCAGCATTAAACGTCATTACATTACTTGCCTAGAGCTGTCTCCAGCGGTGGAAAGCAGCGCCCCCTTGTTTGTTGTATTGTGTATCCATGCTCTCAACAGTGACTAGATAATATCATCCTACTTTGTCACAGTACATACATCATATGAATACAAGTATTCTGAGTTTTGCAAATTTGTGATGTTTTTGAAACATGAAATTGCAATATTCTCTAGATATGCTCTTTTTCATTGCCAAGTAAATAAGCCAAAAATACATTGTATATGAGTCCAAAAAGTAATTTTGTTTCATATTGATAAGATGGAAAGATTTTTCCATGAGTCACTTGTTGTGCTTTGTCCTAAAATGAAAAAAAAAAAGTTTTGTGGCACCAGAGTTTCTTGTCTATTAAACAAAATTTACTTCAGTCCAGGCTGCAGTTGCAGGGACCCAACACGAAGGCAGTGATCTTAATGTACAGAACCAGCTCTGTGACTTTTCTCCTTGCATTCCTGCACATCTTAATTGGCGAACCTCCTGGCAGTGGGCTCGGTTTGGCCTCGGCTGGCCTGGCTGTCAGTTCAGCACAGTGGCCAGCAAACGCACTAGGAACAATGCCCATCCTAATCCCTGAAGAATTCCTGCTCCTCTGATCTAGCTGGCCCAAGAATGTGATGTTTAAAAGGCCGGAGGCACACCAGGAATCACAGGGAGACAAGTTCTCATGCACAGTCTTCCATGTTAATTTGCTATAAGGAGCCAGAGAGGCAGTGATGTGAGAAACTGGCAGCATAGCGGCTCCAAGGGGACACACCTCATCATTAACAGTACCACAGCCTGGCATGAGGGATTAGGAAAATACATGCCACCAGGGGGGAACCTGTAATCTCACTGGACAGTTACGCTGATAATGAGAGACTTGTTTTGATGTGGTATAGATTTATTTGTTGCACTTACTAAACAAATTTATACAAAAACAAAAATATAAAATGTCCCTGTGTTGCGCTCACCTATCATTCTTCAGTAATTTTATGTAGCTCACATCCATAATTATGTTAGTGACATTTTTCTTTTTATAAACCACCTTGAAATGCTGTTTTGAGGTCATTTTCAATCAAATATGTTAAAGTATCTATATAGCTCAAATGGCAGTCACAGAGGTTTTAAGATAAAAGCAAAAAAACATCAACTTTGTAGCTGGTAAATCCCTTGAGTGTCCAATTATGGCAAATTGGACTCACTCTTGCCCTTTTTCTACTGTTAAGCATGAGCTCATATCAGTCACCCCTACATACCTCAGCTCTGGTTACACCATACATTACAAAGGGGCTGGCATGAGCTAATGCAGCGTAGCAAGCAGGGGAACGGGAAGAAATTCCCTTATATAGAAGACCTGATTTGACTTAGGCTAGTTTTTGCTTTCAGTGAGCCAGGACAGTCAAGAACACACGAGTAACTTAGTGTGTTTAGTCCAAACCCACCGAAAATGATAAACTTTGCCTGGCTGTCTGTACTGTAAATCCCAACATGAAGTGCCAATGTTATGTTTTGTTTTGTCAGCTCCAGAGGCCTGAGTGCCATGCCAGAGGGGTCCCATTCTGCTCTCCACCAGGGCCCAATGGGGGAAGGTAAGATCAGTGCATTTATATGCAGTGCAACCCATGCTCTGGCAATTGCTACGTATGAATTGACCAGTCTTATAATATGGAGTTTTAATGAGTTGGAATGGTATATCTGGTTACCCAGGGCACTGCATTAACATAACACCCAAGTACAGCAGAGGTGAATGGAAAAATGCTGGAAATGGAAGAATAGAGGAAATGTAGAGGCAGAGCCGAAAGAGCAATGAACTCCCCTCCTACAGTCCCAGCTGGCAGAGAGTCTCTTTGTGTGGCTGTGGAGCTCAGCCAACCCCCTTCATACAACTGAAACCCCTGAACACTCGCACATCAAACCAGAATGTGTCAGACTCACCGACAGCCAAGATGGTTAGTCTAGCCAGTGGTGCTGACCTTGTATGCTGGGGGCCACTCAAATTACATATTATTTTAGTGTTCATTATCTTCAGTCGTGGAGCCACTGCATTGACACAGGGCCTCTTTGTATCTGTTTGCCTGCTCTGTCCCTCAACCCCCAACCGCCCCCACGCCTCCTCTCCTCTCTACTGAACACATTTGGCACTGAGCTTCAACTTTGGCTCAAGAATACCAATGTGTCAATGGTTCCCTTTTTCCTCTACGCCTGTCCCTTTGGTTCAGCTTTGGCTAGAAGAGGCTTTTGGCTCAGGGAGACGTGTGCCGCCCTCGTGAAAATTTGTGTGTCTGTTTCCTCAAAAGGCCACTCCACACTGACAACACGTTCTCGAGCTCATTTTGCAGCTCAGATGTCTAGTACGAAATCACCTTGGCATGACAGAACACCCACTTGCAGCTGAAATATTTTCAGACTCGTTTGTTTGTGAAACTGTTGGGAGTTAAAGTGTGACGGACCTGGCTCTCCTGCTGTGGATGGATGGATGGTAATTAAGTGGCAGGGCTGCTGGTAATGTACTATCTGTGTGAGGTGATGATTGCATGTGGTTAACAGGCAGGGGGAATGCATGTTGAAAGGAATCCCCCCTGTCTGGTCAAAGAAAACAATGAAAAGGTTGTAGCTACCATCCAGCTCCAATTTCTCTAAAGGGTCAAAGAATTTTGAAGCTGTGTTGATTATTTTACCGCCTGCAGGCTTTGGACGGCACCATCCATTATCAGATGTAACCAGCATAAAGGAAAACATTCGGGCTATGCACCAAGATCTTTCCAGATGTTGTTATTGTTCTGCACTTTGAATGCTTTTCCAGGAAAAGACACCTCCTATTTCCTACCAAACTTTCATCACCGTGGTCAAACATGAACCAGCATGATTATAATCCTTGTGTCCCACATATGAAATATAGAACGTCTAGGCTGTCAATCCAGTGACAGCGACTTAACCAGGCATCAGTCGACCTGAGGCAGCATGAAGCAGCTCTGTCAAAGATAAGGCTTCTCTCTGACCTACTTAACCCCGGGCAGGAATGTAGCTGTGTGTGCAGAATGTACAGCTTTAAAGGGGTTCTGGGGGGACGGACGGATCATCTCCATTCACTGCAGCTTTTCCAGACCAGTGGGCATAGGGTTGTGGACATAGATAGATGATGGCAGGGATGGCTGCGTCTCTGAGTGGGCTTGTTAATGGAGCTCCTGGACTGGAAGTCTTTTTCTGCTTAATTGCCCGAAGCATTAATCACAGGCAGCCTCAGGTGAGCCTGAAGCGACTCCTGTTCAGCAAAGTTTTGAAGTCATGCACTGACACTCACTGAAACTGCCGGCAGTCCCCTGTCCTGTACATCTGCAACATCTAACTAGCATTGCATAGGTTTATATAAGCCACTGTTACATAGCTGCTATTGTAATAGAATTTATACAGCTCTATAGTCTCTGTATTTCATTTCATTGTTTGTCTGAGGCTCCCGTACCCCTCACAAAAGAATTTATTTCAATGTAAATTATTTTACAGCTCCTGCAATGGCATTCCTCCTTATAGAGCTCTTCTGGTGGATTACCCACATTAGTTACAGGCTCTTTGGCTTGGGTGTTCCTGTTAGGTGGCCTCTCATAGAAACTCATTTGAATCTATAAATCTCTTTATCAACTTCCCCCATAACACTTTACATTCAGTTGATGTTTTGAAAACAAGCATGCAGTGCATTGGAATATTTTGGTGTCACCACAGACGTGACACTAGACACAATAAGGGCTCAGAAATGTTAATGACATGTTTTTGGAAAAGATGGTTTATGTAATTAATGCTCTTGCTTGTAACTCATTATAGCAGGACGCAAACATATCTGTTCTGTGTCTAGTAATGTGTACAAAAGACTGACAAAAGTAAGTACCAAAGCAAGCGAGCAAATTCCTCACTTACTTCTGTATACACTAAGTGTTAATAAGGCCTAAACTACAGGGCAAACAGCATCACACCCTTTATAACGCTGCATGTGATAAACAGCTTGACGTGAAGTAAATGAAGTATTCCTCCCCGACCCTCTTCCCTCCACACTTCACACAGCTGCTGTGCCACCAGCATGTGTGTGGACTCTGCAGAGAGGCGCTAACGGGACAGCAGTTTTGTTGTAGACTGTCAGACTGGTGGTAAAGTTTACAATGGACTCACACCTCAGGGCCCAGATGGTGTGTGTTGTCCAGAGGAAATGCGAGTTTTGAATAGATCCAGGGCTGGCTGTGTTGCTAGTGCCTGAAGGGTTCTTGGAGGGGGGGCTTGTTGATGGAGGAGTTTCCTAAGTGGATCATCACATGCCTATGCACTGAGGTCATTTGGCACGGCTGGATCCTTTAAGAGCCAGGGTCAAGCACAGGGGAGTTTATAGGATTAATTTTTGAGCTTTTTGAGGAGTTTTGTACTTTTGTTACTCTGAGAATCCTGTGTCTCTGAAACATGTCACTTTAAATGTGCGAGAAGGGATTTTGGCCTTTGCTGTCTCTATTGGTGTGTATATCATAAGGTCAAATTTACAAACATGTAAACATTGATTATTTCATTGTGCTTTTCTGAGAAACTAAAGTGCAATAACTGAGTATTTTGTAAGAGTTACACAACTTTTTACGATCATAGTTTGTCAGATGTCCCCAGGTGGATTCCTCATGCATTTCAGAAATAAAAAAAAACTGAAGCAATGCCAGAACACAGTTAGTTTCACTTTTAAACACCAAAATTCCCCCAAAACTTCCCAACACAACATTTTGACCTTGACTGTCAGTGTGGAATGCAGGTTCAATTCGTGTTTGTGTGCTCAGCCTCTGTTGTCCACAGCGGTTTATTTACCGACTCTCAGGTTAATTATTAACACAGCATTAAAAGCTTGTTGAGTGGCCAAACACGGATGTAAATCAAACCATCTTGTACCTATAAAGTGCAGTTCAAAGCAGAAAAACCTTGAAGTGACCTAGATTCTTCTCTGCATCAAGGGATAAGAAATCAATCCGGGCCATCGGTCTCAGTATCTAATCATCAGTGTTCTGACTCATGCTGTTTGATAATGGTCTGTGGAGACTTGGGACTTAATCCTCAGAGGCACCCTTTATGCTTGTGCCTCCTGCCCTCCTGAGGAGCAGCCATTCACCGTTGCCAGGTGGGGAGGAGTTTTTCCCATGGGGATCAGCACAGGACTACCTCCCTGTCTCCCAACAGCCACCGCTGGAGGAGATGAGTGCTAGAGGCTGTGGAGGGGTGCTGAAGAAGGAAGTTCAGAGTGGATGTTGAGTAGCGGAAGGGCTTTATTAAGATGTAGTGCAAAACATGATTTGCTCTTTATCCCCCCAAGGGAAACAAGGTCACACACTGTGCCCTTGGCTCTGAAAGATACGTTAGCAGATTAGCAGCCTCAAGAGCCAGTTTGAAGTTGCCGTTTTTTTTTTCTTGCTTGTGAGTGAACGTACTAATCAGCCAGTTAGGAACTAGGATTTTCCACCTTGCTAACTGCGTTAATGTGGAAGGTGAAAGTTCTTTTTGTGGCCAGTTCGAATCTCCACAAATTAGTAACCCTGTTCAAGCACAGTAAAGAAAAACAAGAAAGTGCTTAGAACTATGACTTCTGTCAAGGAGAATGAGGGTGTTGCAAGAAAAGTTGTGAAATTTACTGAGGAGACAGTTGGTGTAGACTCATCCTATATTACCAGCACTTGTAAAAAAAAAAACCCTTTTTGGCCCAAGGGGATGGAATTAATGTATGAAGCTGCCAAGATAGTGCCAGGCACCTGAGAAACAAGGAATGACTCATTGTGATGAAACAGAGCGTTGAAATTACTAATATTTCACAGCTTTATCGTCACTGATCATGCAGGTATCATCAAGCCAGTGTCTGGAGAAATATCACAAGGTGGCTTTGAGTGTGATTCATCGTACGCTGGGTTCAGATTCATCACCATTTGATGTATGAGTCAGTATGAATCAAGTAGGAGCAGCTGTGTGAAGGCTACTAACTTAGCAGGCAGGGGCTTGTTTTATTCTGTGGGATCTTCTGTCCACAATGCTGTCACTCTTACTGTTATTTTTTGTTTTCGACGCTCAGAAAATTGCTTAACACTGCTGAAAATGACAGACTTGCCAAAGGCAGCAAATAGTGACAGGAGCAAAGGTGCTCAAGAGAGAAGTCATTCTCTAATGCGAAGTCCATGTGCAGTATTTTGTTGCTGAACATAGAGACAGTGTTGTTCCTGTTTCTTTGGTTAGATGACAAAAACAAGACCAACAGGATAGTACATAAACACAAACATAGGGATTATTTTTGTAGTGTCATAGGCAAATTCAGAGGTCCTACTAAGTTCAGCTGAAATAGGTGTGCCTCTCTGGGAAGCAGCTTCCTGGAGAGTCATACCTAACTCACTGAGTAGGACACACTCATCATTCATCATATTAAAAGTCTGCTCACAAGAGATTGGAGAGGAGCTAGGAAAAAGGTGATTTAGAAATCGTCCTGAACTTGGACTTGACACCTTCTTCAGGCCTTTTGCTTTGGTGGACTACTCTTATCACTGCCATCTTTAAGGTACGCGAGGACTGACACATTAGAACGTGTATGAATTCA